AGGAGAACAAAAAAACACTGCAAATCAGAGCCACAGCCAGCCTCTAATCCTTAATGGTGAGTTTGTTTAAGCCCTGTACTGACAGTGCCTCCAGACTGAACCTCAGAATTAGAATTACCACTTTGGCTAAAAATCAGACCCAGAATTCCTTTTTCTGAATAAATCCCTGGTACTATTTCCTCAGTGCATCTTCTGCCCTCTCCTCCTGGCACTATATGGGCACACTTTAGATTCCAAAGCTACACAAATTGGGGCCAATTGTTTTCTCACTCAGATGAGCCAGACGTCCTAATTAAATTCATGCTTGGCTGACAGGCCTGCAGCCACAACAGGATCTGAATCAATTAATCTCACCATCATTTGGCTGTTTACTTTCACCCGTCACAGCCAGAAAACATGGTGATTACACTGAAAAAAAAATGTATGTTTGTTTTATCGCCATTTGGAAAGGTCCAGCAGTGCTATTTTAAACTACGCACATACAGAAAGTGCCATTGTCAACCCGTTAAGCATATACTTTGGCCAGTCTATACTTCATTCCCCTTTTAATTTTTTATCTAAAATAATAGTTACGTTGCACGTGGCATTTCATGTATGTTATTGTTCCAAATTATGACATTAATGTATCTTGAATTTATTTAATTACAGTTGTTTTTATTGCTCAAAAAGACCCTGTTTAATGTGAGCAGAGTTGCCTCTCAACAGATCTGACCTGTGACTTGACCTGGTAGTGTCTCTCAGAGAAATTCAATTTCTGTGCTATACTTAGGGCACTCACTGCCAGCTCAGTCCTTGTCATCTTGGCCTACGTCACCTGACGTATAATACTTCCTACATGGAAACAAAGGCAGACTAGATTCTTCTAGCCTGGAACGGACAATACTATCACAGTGTCTTGAGGATTAATGTCTTCCAACTTCTCCTGTGTTAGAACTCCAGCCTCACACTTCTTCTCTTCAACTCGAGCACTACTGCAGTTTATTGTACAACAGTGTCTGCTTTAATGCCCTAATGTGGATTGTTCTGGGCAAGGAATAACATCTCCATGGAGACAAAGCAGGAGGCTAAACAACAGGTGCCCAGTGCACCTTTAAGTGCTTGTGTTTTTTTCTCCCCTTGTTTTAACCCTCATCTGTTTATCTGTAGACAATATTGAATTCATACTAAAGTGCTACTAAATCTACCCTGTTTGGCAGGCCAGGCTACAATTATACCACTATATAAACCATAAGACCCTACGAAACCAAATCCCATGATGACAGATGTATTGGAAAATGAGTAGCAGAGATGAGCCAAAATCTATTAGCAGAAACAGAAGATAATATTATGCATGCTAATGACTTCCTGTTTGGTTAATTGCCAGACAGTGTTGCAAACCATGAAGCTATCTTGTCAACTCTGCACTATAATCCATAAAGAATTTCCTATACTTTCCGAGGCTGTGAGTTCCCCTCCTCATGTGCCAGATTAAAGAGGGGGTAATAAGCCTGTATAGAATCTGCCCCATCACTAAACTCCAGTAAATCCAGCACAGACTGACTGTAATTCTCCTCTTCAGAAGTGCTGAGTCTTTGAACTGCACTCAGCCTGTCACCATCTCTGTCTCAATACCCCAAAGCTCCACAGTCTGTCAAATCCACCAACACCAACCATGTCCCAAAGGATCATGGGTAATCTGCTATCCAGCTCCTTGTGATAAGAACTTTTGTTTTGATATACTCCTGATGTAACAAAGCCAGTAAACAACAGTGTAGGCAGAGATCATGTTGGAATGATTTTTGGAAGTGTAAATTAGGTATGTTTAAGTTCTAAAAGAAAAGATCAGTGATTAATTTGCATGTAGATTTAGAAAAACTTTGAGAGTTTTGTTGTTGTTTTTTTCTTGGGAAAATTAGAATTCTTTAGTGAAGAATTCAAATTTTTCTTCAGTGAAATATTGCACCAGTTAATCTTGATAATCCCTGTTCTCCTGCCTTTTTTTTTTTTTTGTGGGAGCATGTGGCCTTAAAATCACTGCAGTGTTCCTTTACCTTTGTCTTGACAAATTAACCACAGCCTTAAGGCCCATCATTAAAAAGGCTTACTATGCACAGAAGTGTATAAGGTCAATTAGAACATAGTTATGTTCCACTTCTGCATTATACTTTGTCTCTGCATCTTTCAAACAAAATACCTCATATCTGCAATTACAAACTCAAATGTCATTGTTGTGCCTGTAAAAACAGCAGACGTCGTGTCATTTTGCACATCAGACTGCAAATGAATCTGACGCGGCGCTGCTACAAAAGGCACCAATTAAGAACAAATGGAAGCAAATGGAAGGATTGCTATTTCCCTCAGTCGATGGCAATTAACTTGACAACGCTAAAGTGTAAATTTAAAAACCCGGAGGAGATGTGGCTAACAATTTGGCTTGTAACATTAGCTGATATGTTTGATTACAAGCACAAAGGCTGAAAAGAAAGCTAATTTAACATCTTTGAAAGTCATTTAGGATATTGTTGTAGGGATGTCGCAACGTACTTGTGGTGTATTTTTTAGTGCTGCAAAATGTCTGAATTAACTACTACTACTACTACTACTACTACTACTACTACATCCACATTTCTATGATATGATAATATGATACTTTCACAATAAACATCTCATGATATGATATTTATCGCGATATTTTGTGGAGGCTAACAAAACTGGGAACGTGTTACTTTTTTCTTCTAAAACGCATTGACAAGACTTTGATTCTGTCATAATCCAAAAAATTAAAATTTGCGTTAAAAAGAAGATTAAGTGCTTATAAATTATTTCTTTATTTCAGTTATTGTTACATCCCTATATTGTTGTAGCTTTTACTTAAGGTCAAACTGCTATTGACCAAACAGATACAGTCTTTGCTGTGAAACATACTTAAAAAACCCTCTAAATACTTGTTGCGATTGGCATGCTAATTCTCTGATGTTAGAGATATCTCCCTGGGGATGTCTTGCTCCGATGATTGCTCTGATCGCCTTTTTAATTACCTTAAATGGATCAATTGCTGCGAAGATGAAGCACTCAGCTGTATAATAAACCTATAGGAGAAAATACAAAAGGCTTATATCCATACAGTTTGTGGAGACGGGAGATAGATGAGCACTAGCTGAAGTGTTTAAACTTTTTAACCTTTTGTCTTTCGTACTGATGGGATCCTGTCAGCATCTTCATCATAAAAATGTGCAGCATCTATTTGGAGACAGAAAATAACAAGGTCCATCCTCCTCCTCACTTGAGGTTTATGTTGCTGTTTCTTCTAAACTTTATTATTTTCACATCCGACTGTTTATGTTGGCTAAGGACTGACGAGGTTAAAGTACACTGTAAGCAGGCCAAGGGGGGAAGTGAAGAGATCAGTTAAGATTTCACCTCCGAAAGCACTGAGGGAACACCTGTCATGACATTAAATATGCAGCATAGACGTTGTATCATAACGTGCACCAAGAAAAGGCTAGGACTTGTTTGACACTTATAGTCTACTACTTGAGTAAGATTTTGCAGTAACATTAGGCTACTTTGAGTTCAAGTGGCTTTCTACCCTCCCACGTGGTCTGCAGAAAGACAGACTTGAAGTCTATTCCAAGGCCTTTTTGTTATTAGCATTATCTATTTACTTATTTTATTTAGGCTGAAACCTTTTTTAATCTATTGCTCTTTTGCTGTAGGCTCCATAATAACCCAACATGTATCATTCATTTATAATGTATGGTTTGTCAGTTCCATTAGTTAGTCTTCATGATCTTTCCAGTCTACTTGGTAGGTCTACAGTAGGATAATCTACCTAAAATAGGCCTTGGGGGTCTCAGTAGCTGCGCGGTGGGAAACTCTTATCTTGTTCATGTTTTTCTGTCGTGTTTGATCTTGTCAGACAAAAATAAATTTACCTGCAGATAATCAGATGAAGCGTTCCTCTTGTGGGAATAATAACATCTGAACGGCTGATTAGTCCGGACTAATGTGGTGTGATGGACTCGGGAGGCGAGGATACCGATCTGCGCATGGTCACTGGCTCACACGGCGCACACATAGTCCAATATTTACATCCAAAGGGATTTTATACTGACAGTTAACTTACATGCTATCGTCCCCATTAACTCAAATAAAGTAAATGTGTTATCTTAGCCACAAGAGGGTGCATTTGCTCTGCCTGTCCATTTTTTTCTTTTCACAATTCTGAAAGAACCTACCGCCACAGTTCACACAAAAGGTGTCACTGTAAACTATGTCTGTCATCATATGCACTTAACCACGCGCGTGTGTGTATAGCCTAATAACAGTGTAGTGTAGTTTCTTGCCAAGTGCCTATTAGTCTAATTGTTCTGAAGACTTGGCCAAGGTGAGCCTAGGCAGGAAAGGGAAACCACAGTAGTGTTTTATATAACGAGGCTGTTACTGCGAAAATAGGAAAATCCAAGCGTCTTCGCGCACCTGTTAGCATGCATGCAATTTTAAACAAACACGCGTAAAGCTAAAAATAAGTGATTGTGTTCATTTTATGATGATTATTTGTTTTATTTCTTTGTGCTGTAATTTTAATGTTTTTCTTAATCTGTAAAACACTTCTATTTTTTTTGTGTGCGAATTGTGCTATACATAAATTTGCCTTACTACATAATACAACGTAATGCAAAAAAAAAAAAAAAAAAAAAGGATACTTAGCAGCATTATACATGCATGTTTCTTCTATTAATTTATAGGAAGGAACCCAACTCAATAGCTTAATACAGAGGGCAAAAATGAGGGTTATCATAGTTCATTGAGATGGCTAGATGATTTCTATGGGAGACTAGTGCCACCATGTGGAAAGTTTAGTCAGTTTAGGATTTCTAATGTCATCAAAAGTTTCGAGTTTATGTCCAATTTCCCCATTCATTGACTTTTTTCTCAGAGTGACTGGTCTTCATTGTAACACAATCATACCCTTTACCTGAGCCAGAGTTCCCCTCCTCCTACAGTCCACACCCATAGGCTGTGTCCCAATTCGAGGGCTGCAGCCTCCGAAGGCTGGTTTTAAGGCCGCATACGTCACTTCCGGTGAAAGAAGGCCTGTCCCATTTCATTTTTATGTCATGCAGCCTTCAAATGCAGCCCTAAAACCGGCCTCGTTTCCATGGAAATGGGGCCGCGAACGGAGGACACATCCGAGTATCCTTCGCAGCCTTCAGTATCCCAGCATGCACCGCGCGGCGGCAGTCAGATGTTCGAAAACACGGAGCAAAAAGCCGGTCCCGAGAGCGGAGAAAAACATGTGAGTAACACTTTTAACTTTAGGAAATCATTACTAACACAACTGTAAACGTAAAATACGACCATAAGTCCCACAAAACTGTCAAATAAGTTTGTTTTTAACTGCGTGAACCGCGGAGTTTTGAGCTAAAGTTTGCCTAGTAATGTGCAGCTAATGCGATGAAAAGTCCGCTCAAACTTTCATATTTGGACACATTTCCATCAAACACTCATCATGTTTTTACTGTTAGGGGAAAAGAAGCTCACAGAGTGATTTAAAGAAGCTACGAGGAGAAAACTCCACGTTTTCACGGACAGTGTAAACATGTAAACAGTTGGTCAGTGTAGCTCGGAGTTAAGATGAAAACACACATTATTTCATACATTCAACTGAAAAAAGACTCAGTCTGACTCTATCAAAGCTCATATTTACTTGTAAATCACATAATATATGCCTCCAACGTGTGCATTTCATTCAGGGAATACATTATCTGCTTTTAACAATCCGTGCATGTTTGTAAAGTGAAGAGTAAATAATCCTGCCTGGACAGGTCAGATTTATGATGGACATGAGGCTCGTTTAACAGATCTGTGCAGACACTGGTGTAGATTCGACCTGACTGTGTCTGTTAGGTCTGTCACATCTAATGTTATAACAATGAGAAATCTGTTTTACATGAATTTTCTTTTCTCATCTGCAGCCTCCAGTATGAGGACACAGCACACTGCAGGGGCCACAGAACTGTTGGCTGACAAGATGCTTGTGATTCATAAAATGGGTCAAATGCAGATGACAAAGTAAAGCCAACACTGAGCTGGAGGTGCTGACCCAGACTCCTGCCAACGATTAGGTATGGGGCATGTTACATTGAAAATTGTACTAATAAGAGCTGCAAATGAATCATGCTCATGTTGAAATTATGATTTAAATTGTGAAAATATGTATTTTTCAAATGTGTGGGATTCCTCTATTCATTTAGCTGTTTCAGATATAAACTGCCTTTGAATCTGAATGTACATCAAAGTTTAAGTTCAACGTTAAAATAGTTTATTGTCAATTCTTCATACGAAAAACATATAAAGAATCGAAATTGTTTTTCTCACTCCCTTGCGTATAAATAAATAATAATAAATGTAAATAGTGCGGAGGGAGTCCAGGTGTTCTTTGGGGCTGCATGCTCTGTGAAACTTATTTTCCTCTAATAGTTTTGTAGTGTTCTTAATGTGTGTGTCATTACAGGTTTTCACTCTGCAGGACAGAACTTTGAATCAATCAGACGCAACAACCATTCTGCTCTTCCTCCTCCAGAAGACGAGAGATACATCAGACTGAGTGGTCCAAGTCCACTGTCCATGTCTCCAATGTCCATGTCTCCACTGTCCATGTCTCCAATGTCCATGTCTCCAATGTCCATGTCTCCAATGTCCATGTCCAGAGTCTCTGAGGAGGAGGTCCAGAGTCTCATATGATCTGAACAAGTGTGTGAGATAGAAATGAAAACATCTGCTCATAAGTGTTTCTGAATGTTTTTCAGCCTGTACTGACATTTGATTTATGGTGAAATGTGCCATTTATTTGGTGTCTCTTTTGATAGTAACTAATTACATGTACTATAAGAATGTACTATTGTACTGCAGATAAGATGTGGTATTCCACATGATCATATCTGGCAAAGATAATTTGTTCATTTTTGATTGTCACTTGCTTCAGCAAAAAGGGAACACAATGAGATTTACTGACATACAGCTGTTTGTACTAACTTGTTAATGCAGAGTGTGTGTAATGGGTTTAATATTTGACTTCATATTATGATAAAGTATTTCCAGAAGTTCCTTGGATTGTTTAATAAATCATCTTTTCTCAGGAGAGATGTCTTTCTTTCTTTACAAACTGACTGTATAAATGTAATCCCTGGTCAATATAAAAATCCTTAATAATGATAATATTTAGTAATGCATATCTCATCACAGTTTTTTTTTATTTTAAGATAATTTAGTCTATTTAAAATGTATCCCTTAAATATAGCCGTTTTGTTTTGCAAAAGTTAAACATACATTTTCGGTTTTGGCCATAAGATTTGGATGCGAATTATTAAAATAATTTGGTCACAAAATCCGACAGTTTGATGACCTGTGAGTATTCTTTTTACTGATCCGTGTGCGTAATCTGCGCGGAGCGTGTTAGCATTAGCATTAGCGCTAGCAGCGTCCCTCGGTTGCTAGGCGACAGGGGAGCGGCTCCGAGGTCTAGACCATGGAGCTATTAAAATAACGTTATATTGTGGTGTCTGTACATCTGTGACTGTGTGTGTGTTTTATCAGTTTTGACGAGTGCAGTAGGAAAGTTAGCGACAGTAACAGCTAACGTGATGAAGACGATGTGAGGTCAGGAGTCAGGATAACTCCATCTCTTGAGGTAGATCCCAGTCTAAATATTATTTTTATATAACGCTACTTATATTCTTGTATATTTTTACGATCACAGAATTGTAATTCTGCTCCGTGATCATTGGTCGTGTCTAACGGGCTCGGTTCTGGCTGGATGCCGCTCTCGGCGCTCTCCCTTCGGCTGTGGAGCGACAGAGACACCGGTGTGTGATCTGATTGTGTTTTTAACCAGAGATAATTATTATTTGTGTAGGCTAGAGTGTTGACTGTTGAGTTTAGACTAAAGTGCAGTCATGTCAGTGCCTTAATACAATAATTTAACGCAACGTGCCATAATACAATAACGTAACGTAATAAAAAGCACAATTTTTAACAACAGCTAACGTTAGATAACCAACCAAAACTTATGTTGTTTTTCCCCAGATGACATCAGGAGCCCCTGTCCTTCTGCTGAATGTCTCCATCAGGAGCCCGGCACGCTGATCAGAAGTAAGTACTTTTAATGATTTCTGTGACAGTGAGGATTTAGTTTAGAGCCAGATCTGACTTTGTCTCTAACTTTCTGTTATGGGACTTGAGACGGTGCTTCAGGCTTTCAGTGAGAGATGTTGACATGAACACTAATGTGTCACATCTAAATTACACTGATATTGACTATGAACACCATCATAAATTGATTATTATATTTTAAATGTTGTGGTAAAATTAAATGTAGTAGAGTATTGTGTATTAACAGCAGTGAAATACGTCTCAATCTCATACTCAGGCTTATACTAAAACAAAAGAGTTCAGTTTTACTGCGCTAAAGTATTTCCTATGAGTTAAATAATGTTTACCATCTCTGTTTCAGAATATACTATGGTTAATAAGAAGAATGGACATAACAGCATGATAAAGACCCTTTTGAGGTAAATACTGCACTTGTATTAAACACTGTGGCCTGAAATGATCCAAACTGATATTTGTGTTTCTCTTATTTGATGTTTTACAGAATTCCCTCTGCTGGGCCAAGTTCCAAAAATGTAGAGACAGACCCTGTGTAAGTTTACTGTATTATCCTACTTTTATTAACTTTCATAACTAAACATATGCACATTATAATCACACCTGTTGTTGTGCATATTGTTTCTTTCAGAACATGCTGTGGTGGAGTTTAAAGACTGACCCTCCGTAAGTGCATAGATTTCTCCAATCAAGTGTTTACCTTTCATATTCAAATCACACAGCCACTGTCATGACTTACAATGTTCTTCACAAACCTGAACCCTAACTCCTTACAAGAATAAGAGGTGTAATGGGGTGTTTAATACACACTGGTGTCATTTCAGATGCTGTGAGAAAGGGGAAGCCCAGTCCTGGACACTGACAGACTGGATCTTCACCAGTAGGACTGAAGAGGAGCCAGACTCACTGCACCTCTGCCTCAAAACCTCTGCCTCAGACTGAAGCTAAAGACAGAGGCTCTGAAGCTCCCACACTGCACACTCTATAAGAACAACCATCCGTCTAATTGTACTGTGGTGGTAAACACAAGTTAAGTTTTAGTTTTAAACAGTATGGTATGGCTACACTCTGTCTCATCTGTCCAGGCTTTTACTCATATAGCTTATATTTGTTTTTTTGCCATTTTAAAAAAAAAAAAAAAAAACTTTGCTTAACTTGAACTATTTTTAGTAAAAACTGTAAATTGTCATTTTCATATTAAGAATGAAGCATTGGTTAACTCAAAGGGTATATAAGTCCTATAACATTAATAATAATTATTCATGTCCTAAGATTTCTAATTAATGATTTAAATAAATATTGTTTAAAATGTAAAAAAAAAAGTTTCTTTTTTTCTTAACTAATGAGATTTAGTGATAGAATATCACTGATCCAACTTTGAAATTGTTTAAGTTTATGTTTTTAAATTTAAGCCTTTATATCCTAGTTTTAATACTTGCGGTAAAAGGTTTATGTACAATTACAATGCAAATGCTGCTGGTGTGTATTTAGGTCAGTAGGAAGTGGATCAGTATTAAATCTGAAGCATATTTAGGCTCCTAACGACACAATAAACAGATCCGCGGCAGATAACCCGGTTCTGAAAGCGGATCCAAAATGGGTCCTTCCTTTAAAGTCAGCTATTAGCCTACTTATCCATGTAGCTCTTGTGCATGAAACAGTGTGCAAATGTTTTACTAGTGTTGAAGTTGAAGGGTAATTCCATGAGTTATCAGAAGGCAATGCCATATTTGGAGATTCCTTAGAAGCGTGTATCATGTTAATAGACTTCCTGTCACAAGACTCCTCACCCCACTGTTGAATGCCCATTGTTCTATTGGTTAAAAAACATCAGGTTATCGGAAACACCCTCCCACCTTCTCAAACAGACATACCACACACATATTTCTCATGTTTTTTTATGCACTGAAGAACTGAAATGTGTACAAAGGAAATGCAACAAAGCAGATATTAGGTATAAAGCGCTGACATTTTTCATGGACACTTATAATGTCACCCAACACTTAAATTTTTTTTACTATAATAATATAATACTTTTACAATTCTGTAATAAATCTTAAAGGCATTCATATAATAATAAAAAGTGCCTATCAAATATATATAATATCATATATTAATATATATATTAGTCCCATATACATAATAGCTTATAAAAATAAATACACAGTTATGAATTTAGCTACATTCATGAACAGCCTCAGACTCAGTGATTTCTTCCTTTTAACGGGTTTAGTTACTCTTAAGCTTCCACAGCTGTAGCTTATTTTACGTCCAAACTAGTTAAAATGTTGTGTTTTACTATTCTTTTAGTTAGTTTTGTGCTGGTACTCAACGTGCACACGCTGGTGCAGCAGAAAGTCTCTCAGCTTCCACAGCCTCAAGGTTTTAGGTTGGAAATAGTTCAATCTGCATAAACGCAACAGCTATTGTTCTACTTGAACACATGATGCACAGGGAGTGAAATGTGCAATATACAGTACAAGAATATGGTACAGTACATAATGACAGTTTAACCAAAATACAAAACACAAGTATAAAGGCAAGAGTTACTCAAACTCAAACTATGGAAATAGAGTATTTAAGCAGTAGCATATTAGTATTTTTGTCTAATGTCAACATTTGAAAACAAAATAACAAAAAAAACCACACAAAAATAATGCTTAATTAATAAATAGCTGTGAATGCTGATGACGCCTTAAAACCATTCAAAGAAGAAAGACTTCGCTATGATGATCGAGATGGTACTGGAGACTGAAGAAAGAACAGAAGAGCCTGAAAAAAAAGTAGATTTCAGTGTGCATTTTACAGTGGGTATTTTTATGATTTGATTTATTAGTATTTAAGAGATGTGTGAATATCATAGCCTAAGCAAGTATGCCTGACATGGTTGTTACTTACTGTCGATGGGGCTTTGAGATTTATCCGAGCAGTTTGCTGTTAAATCATTAGAAAAGCCATGTTAAAAGCAAAGGTCAATGTTAATCTTTTCATTGAACATTCTGAGATACAGTATATTTATTGCCTCAATTGGAATTACAGTTTTTCTCAGGCATTTTTAGCAAAATTTTTCAAACTTGTATTACTTTGATCATTTGATTTACACATGGAACAGGGGTACAGGTGGTCACATCATTTAGAACATTTCTCCACAGTTCTAATGGCAAAATTAGCTTTTGGGAGATGATCGGTTGATGATTAGTTTTGAATGGAAAAACTGCATTTTGCTGAAGTAAAATTTTGTTTAAGAAAACTGATAAAAGTGCTAATGTGATTGAAAAAAACTTACCAAAGCACGTGGTTCTGTGACGGGTCTGTTGCAAAAAAAAAAAAAAAAAGAAGAGCACATTTATTTACAATAAATATCCATTACTAAAACAATTTGATACCTCTTTGAGACTGAATTCCTTTGATCTGACCAATAATTACTAAATTCTCAGGTTTATCCTTTTCCATCATTTTTCTGAGTGCATGGGTTCAACTGTGTTGCACTTGTTGCCCTTCTGAATAAGCTGAAAGAATACCAGAAGTAGCCAAAAGGCTATTTTCCATGCATTGTTCCTGACTAGGTGTCTATAAAAACGCAGTGACTGTATGACTAAATATGCACTTTTTAAAGATACATTTAAAGACTCATTACTGCTTGGGCCCTGACAAAAACAGCACACAAGTCCTGTTCTCACGTCTCTGTACTCAGTGCAATGGCTTTACGTTGCTAAAAGAATAGACTAAGTCTCTCCATGGCCTAGCACCAAAGTACATCTGTGACATGTTAGTGCCATATGAACCAGCGACTGGCTTCCTGCTGGTGGAGTCAGGGAGAAATCAGCTTTTCAATTTTAGGCAGCTAAACTCTAACAATCTTCCTGAAGATGTGAGACAGGGCCTGTAGACTGAGTGTTCAAATTCAACCCATTTATGTTTTTATTAGTTGATACTGTAGTTCTAATTAGTCTTGCTTTGATTGTAAAACAACAAAGTACCATTTAGGGAACTTGTGCTTGCTATTGCAGTGTGGCCTGCTATGGTATTATCACTTATGGATTTGTGTGTGATGAAGCAGTTGAGAAATACGAAGCATGCTGAGTGCTGATCCTATTAAACCTGCTATATATACTGTACATACTTCACGTGTAGAGCCAGACATGCAGTTGAGCTCGTAGACGACATTCATAGCTTCAAACAGCACAAGGGTTGTGTTGGTATGTGTCTGGACCAAGTCCACATGTCCCTGAGCACTGGCCAAAACAAAGTCCTGAAGTTACACAGAAAAAAACAATATGGGTCATATGTAAACAGTGTTACTTAGAAAACAGGAAATGCATTACATTAATACAAATTCAGAATTAGCTTCTTGTACTCACAGTGTAATTGTTCCATGAGTAAAGGCAGTCGTATTCATCAGGGCGTAGCATTGTGTAGACCACATATTCAGTATGTTTCGGGTAACAGGAAACCTTGCACATAGACTCCTGTACAGCATTATTTTGGACTACTACAATTGAAACATAAACAAACAAAACAAATAAATGAATATGCCTATAGTCAGAAACATTTACACATGCAGATGATGTACATGATTAACAGCAGAACAGCAAGTTAATCAGTGTAAAAGGTTGAACAGTCGCTTTACATTGCATTCACATCCCCCCTGGGGGTGGAAAGCTACTGTTGTACCCAAAGCTGCCCTGGGGTATACTGAATATAGCAAGGCTGCCAATCTGCACCATCAACACCTTTCAAACTACCAATTAGTCAAGCACACACCATTCATACAAGATGGGCAGCATGTTTAAATTCTTAATAGTACCCCACTGGAGAATCACGGAATAAATGTACTAATAAATGTAGTCTATTCTGTGATTTAACTAGTCTAAAGGCCTATAGAGAATACAGCTGCCTACTACAGCATTACTGCTTTACTACTTTGATATAGCATTACCTTTTACTCTTTGCTCAGTATTTATTTAAATCTTTTTACTTGAGTAGGACATACTATTTTATACCCTACCCACCACAGTATTGAGCTATTTATTTTGAGCAGTAATGGAAAGCGTACTGAAAATTGTGGATCGCACAATTCGGACTTTTATGATTTAAATGTAACTATTTACAATTATATGGATAGAATTATACTCAGTTACAAGTACAAGTAGTCTACATGTTACAGTCATGTACTTCAGGGAGTATTTGTAGTTATATTTGGCCTATGGTTGAACGCTACATATTCTTTGTGCTACCTAAGTATTTGAGCCCAAGACAGCTTTCAGGAATGTTCAAGAATGTATTGTATTTGCTGTCAAATATAGGCCTATGTTTTGTTATAACATCCAAGGTAAGAACAAAAACAAGCAGCGACTTAACAAAAACGCCGAGTGTAACCCCGAGTACTCCATCTACCTTACTCCCACTGCGTTTGGTCAACTAACAACATCAGCAAATTGACTCGATGTTCAATTTTAAATCATTCTCAGACAATATCTGCAATAGCGCTGTTAGCCACATAGACTCTATATACGGTCTATGTTTAGCCAATATGTAGCATTTCCTAGCTCTTCCTAAGCTACTAGCTAATTTCTATGCACTTCCTGGTTACTAAGCGGTATCCAGGAAGTGCCCATGGATAGTTCTATGTCTGCTCCCTGCTCTGCGCACATGAGTCTGCCGCAGTCTCGCGTTACCATGGGCTGTACGTTTATTGCATCATATCACCTGATTATCGCCCTTTTTTAATGATCAAGGTTAATACAGGTCATAGACTTAGACTTATTACAAAGATAACTTTGTGTAACTTGTTACTTATCAATGCTTGTTAAAACATTCACAAAATTCCCATAGATAATTTGGACGAATTTTCCCCAACTAACATGCACACTCAGCAATAAGTGAACAAATACGGGCTATCTAAGTAGCATAAATAAAAAGCAATGTTTAGGCCTTGTCAAACATAGACTGTATAAAAATACTATGGTCAAACAACATGATTTGTGTTGCGATAATCAGAAAATTCAACAGGCTTATGTGATAAAGTAGGATATGGCTTAATTAATAAGTTTAGAATAAGTTAAAATAATAGACTAAGTCTACTCACACGGGAGAAAAACAAGTAGGGTGCAGACGGCAAACCAGTGTCTAACCTTGTCCATCCCTGCAATGCCGTGTGAAGAGTGAGAGTGACCGCGGTGAGAGCGACTCTAAACACACACACACGTGCTGCCTAGAGCAGAGCTTTGAGCTTTGCAGGTCTCTGACATCTCGTGATTCAAGGGCGGGACTGTAAAACTTGGAGGTGTAACCAATGAGGTTGGTTTGACGAAAGTAAAAAAACAAACAAACACACACACACACACACAAGGCAAGGTTTTATTGTCTTTATTTCAGCTGCTGACCGACATATCACACTGTATCACACTGAGAGGTTTTGTAGTGTACATATACTAAATACTAGTCTATTTAACAGTAGGATTTCGTCTCATACACTAATGTATTCACTCTTTTCTGAAGTTGGTTGTAGTGGTGAACCCAGATTACAAGTTGTGGTTTGGAATGGGTCTATGTAAGACCACGGTTTCTCTTTAACCATTTCAATAGAGACCTCCATCTGTTTCTTCACTGGTTTTGAGAGAGCACATTTTGACCACTTTCTTCCTTGTGGTGATGTGCATTCTGCCTTGATTGGCTCTGTATCCAGGTCAGAGTTGAGATCACTGTGGCCCTCAGCGGCTTCTCGCTCCAAAGAGACAAACAGCGGTTGTCTTACTGTGTTGTATTTGGGGCCATACACTGATCGGGGCATTGGCCTTGCTTTGAACCTACGTGATTCTTCTCTGGAGCACAGGTTACCCAGCTCTGCCACAATCCTCTCCTCCCTCTTTCTCCTCTCTCGTTCCAGAAACGCAAATGGTTTTGGAGAATCAAAAAGTTGCTTGGATTGGTCACATTTGCCCATTGTAACAGGTCTCTGGCTGAACCTCTGACTGACCACATCATAGAGGGGCAGGTGGATGTGAGCAGGGGCTGGTGATGCCCGAAACTGCTTTTTGCACTCCCTCAGTTCTTCCAGTTCTCGTCTCAACAGGGAGTTCTCCAGCTCCACCTCCGAGCGTGAGCGTACCTTGTGCCTCTTCCTTTCTTCTTCTCGAAGCATCATCTGAAATGGTTTTGGAATGGTCACCTTGGACTTGGCCTTAGCTTTGATCCCACTCAGACCAGACACTTTGGATTTGGGGTTTTTGTACTGGAACCGAAACTGCTTTTGCTTCTTTGGCTCCTGTGGGCTTATTATCAGGCTGTAAGAGAAAATTATAATTCATAATTTACTATGTGTAAACTGTTATAACATGTTATGTCAGAAGTCATTATGAAGTCAGCATCATTAAGAAAAGTGTATAGAAGGCTATATACAATCTATAAATTAATTATGAATCATAAATTTATATTATGTAGGCTACCCTATGTATAATGTAAATAGCTTAAACAAGGACTAAACTAAACTAAAAGGGTTACTCAAAACAAAAAACCTCAACATGTGTTCTGAATTCTTTTTTATAATAAATTTCACAATTTCTTCTACTATTGCATAACTCAGGTATAAATGTTTTGGAACTCAATTTTAACCAGGCCCCTGCTAAACTACTATCATTATATGTGTACTAATATAACCTTCTTACTGACCTCCCTGTGGCTCTTTGTAGTTTGTCCTCCTCCTCGCTCCCTTTCTGCTCTTCTCCACAGGCTTCGTTTTGGTCCGAGCCACTGGAGGTGTCATTAAAGTCCAGCTCCTCCTGTGAGTTGATCCTCTGCAGTCGTCTCACTGGGCCATCGCTGCAGAGAAGGGGCACATTTTTAGTGTAAGTGTATTTATTTATCAATGAATATTCTATACTGAAATGCAAATTAATAGCATAGCATTTTTGTCTATGTTTTTCTTATACATCTGTTTTTAATATGTCTCATGGCCAATAATTTTGATGGCTTATATTTTGTAGGTTTTCAAATAGTCTATGTCTGGATTGTCAGTGTATATACATAGCCTACTTGTGACTTGACCCGGCAGAATTGTTTGTAGAACAAAAATGTTTCTATCAGTAGTTCTTTAGCTACCTGCTATACTGAATTGAATGCTTTGAAATTAAACAAAACCATGTATTTAATAGAACAAACTTTAAAAAAAAAAGTAATTTATGATTAAGAAAAGCCACCCACCTGAACAGCCGTCTGCTCTGTTTGTTTCTGGTCACTTCTTCACCCTCCCTGTTGTAACGTTCAACAGCCTGGCTGATATACATATGCTCTAGTTCTGCTATGTTCCTAAGGTGGGCACTCTTAAGCTCCTCCAGCCTCCTGTAGTACTCCTGGTTGCAGAAGTAGCCCTGCTGGTGGTGCTGCTCCCTCTGCAGCCCGTAGATCTCCAGAGAGACAGAGCTGCGAATGTTCCCTCTGCCTTTGGCTTCATTACTGTGTGCAAGCGGCTCCTGTGATGAGACATTACAATGCATTATTACAATGTTGATCAGCCTGTAGTGCTATTGAGACAGTCTGAAGTAGAATTTCAAGTAAGTGTATTCAGGTACAGTTACTTTGTCATTTGGTGGTATTTAGAATATAGTCACTTTTCTAAAATAAGAGGAATACATGGTAGTACTTCACTGTGTAATTTCAACTTTGAATTGTGCAGTAACATAGTAAGAAAAATAAAAGCAAGTGCACTCTTCAGGTGTCTGCTTATGCATATTAAATTCCTCTTCTCACTATTACAGCTATTATTTATCTCTGGTTTTACTTTTCTACTATAACACTATCAAAGCTAATTAATTAAGTCAGTTTTTAATTTATGAGAATTTTATGTTTTATAAGGTGCCAGTGAATTGTTACATGATATCATATGGAAAATAGTAAATCAACATAGATTCTAATTATTAAATTAATGTTTGTTTGTAAGAACTGTTTCAGAAGTTTCAAAAACTTTGAACCTACCTCACAATCTTGAGAGCAGTGCGTACTTTCATCTTTGTACAGAGCCCTCAGTTCTTTGTTTCCCAGAGAAATAGATCGATGAATTGTTGCCATTTTTTTCCAGAGTTTCAGTTTCTTCACAGGAGCCCTGTGGCACATAGGAGCATGGTGATGTCTGTAGCAGCCTTCACACACTCACACACTGATCTATAGACACAGCACAGCAACAAAGATTATAAGAGAGAGAGGCTCATCCCATTATGACCAGGAGGAGTCATGATTTCACAGTCACCAGGCCACTCTTAACCAGATGAGCCATATGGTCTCAGGGCTTTTCACCTGACTACATGGAGGCAGCAGAATCTGAGCGCTCCAAATCTGATTTGTAGATTAGCTGTCTTAAAAACACCTGTTGCAACCAGCAACTGGTCTGCAGCAAATGTCAAAAAGTCAAAACAACAAACACACAACAAAGTAAACAAGAGCACAAATTGTAACTCTTGAATTTAAGTGCACCACTCAAACTTAGAGTTTAAAATGTGCTTAAAATGTGCGTGTTTGAGTGGCTGAGTACCATTATATTAGAGTTCAACAGGATCTAAAAGTGGATGAGTGAAATTTGCAGTAGGTAAGTAAGTTCATGAAAACTGTTCAATATAAATGTTGAATTATTCACTCATTATACAAAATGTACATGTGTGATTGAGGTCATAGAAACAGTGCTCTACTGATATAATATAAAAAGTCAAAAATGAGTCAATAAAATCATATAGGTGCCAGTTAGATCCACAACAACAAAGTCAATGTTGTACAGTTGTCACTATCATGCACCATGACATATTATTTTGTTAAAAGGCACTGAGGAATTGAAGAGGAGAATCTGAACTTCAAGTTTAAGTGTTTAATGGGTTTACTCTATTTGTCTGCTGCAGTTATCTGATGTTTCTTTACCTTGTGTAACTCCATCTTGTCCCATCTGTCTCCTGTCCTGCTCCATCCATCTAGCTTTGAGCTGCTCAGCAGAAGAGATCAGGAGGCCTGAGAAAGGAGGAGAGAGAGTAGAAGATGTGCCAGGGCAAAGGCCTAGGTCCACAATGTATGCCAGAAGAATTAGCATATATGAGTACCATGGCCTATTTAGTTGCATTTTTTATTAACTAATTTATAATATTTTTGAAAATGGGAATCTTATATCAAATATATCAAAACCCTTCCAAATGCATTAATGGAAAGGTTCAGTGAATGGTTGCAATAACATATGTACTTTAAATCATATATGTTGTTGTTGTTGTTGTTGTTGTTGTTGTTGTTACAAGTTAAAGCATGAGCAACATTTATGGAAACACAAAATAATAGATGGGTTTACAGGCCTACTGTCTAACAATATTTGTCCACAAGATGGAGCTATTTTACATTTTGTTCATATTAGACCGTATATATCCGTATATATGGTCTTTTATGCAGTCTATGACTTTGTGAGGCTGCTTCGTTTGTTAGGCTGCTTCTTTGACGTTTGTAATCTATTGAAAATAATATTTGCTCTCCACGTGTATGGATAGAATAATTAAATGCATCTCGAAGGTGATATGTCATAACTGTATTTATTTCTTGTATTCTTATACCTAGCCTAAAGGAAAGGCCTCATTGCTGTCTGACTTGTATTAGGGATATTTAGCCTACGATAGTTCTTAATTAATAGGCTATAAGCCTTTATCGGATACACTGCCGGGATTTAATTCAGCTCAGAGATGTAGTAACTGGTCTCACCTGTGTCACGTGAGCATGCAGTCCACGGCACCTTCCCCTGGGCAGTAGGGGCAGTACACAGACGTGTCTTTGTGCGTCCGCGTGTGGGTCCTGTTTCCACTCGGCCTCTCTGAGCTGGCATCTGATGAATGAAGCACTGTTCAAACAGTGAGTGGTAAAGAAAACATCATCACAATCTGGGTACTTAACCACCACTTAGCACACGACGTTTTCATAATAGGCCTTTGGCCTATGCGTCACCTTGGAATATTTGGCAATATGAAATCAGCCTAATCTATTAGTAAAACAAGCCTATCTATCTAGAAGAAAGCCTATCTAGGCTTTCTTCATTTCGAGCATCATTAGGCCTGTACCTGTATACAGTAGCTATAAACCTGTTAGAGCTTATTGGTACAGAATATTATAGGCACACCATGTTACTGACATTTAGTAAGAAGTAAGTAATTTATGCTAGACCTACTGATAATAAATATACATGTTGGAATATTTAAATTTTTCACATTTAAAAATTTGCCAACATTTGACCAAACCAGAGAAGCAGATCAAACAATGGGGGTAACAGATGCATGGTCTCTCAGTCATGGAACAATGAATAAACTGACAATGCACATAAGCTCTGTGTAGCTGGGTTGGCACCTGATGTAAAAACTGAGGAGCCACAGCCACTGGGTGGAGTACTGTTGGCTAACCTCCCACAGCAGCTAGTACTTGACAACATGTTTGTGTTTTAGACACTCGAGTCCACAGGCTCCACTCATTAGCTCCTCCAAACCACTGCTCTCACACAGTCAAGGCTTTCAATGGGAGGTTAATTGAAGCTTAAATATAAACCTCAGTGAAACACTGCTTCCACCCAAAAAACATGTGCAAAATAAATGTTTTCCTGCCATTTCATGAATATTCTGCAATATTATAGCAAACAGTTTTAAGCCATTATTAATGAATACACACATATAGGGCTGCTCAAATCAAGAACCAAACTTTATATTACAGTGTAGATCATAAGATAAATCAGTTAGCACTGACCTCCACCACAGATGATGTGTGAATATACCTTATATTAATAAATATACTTTTCAGATATTGCAGGATAGGACCATGGTGTAAATTCTCTGCTCAGTATTTCAGACAATGACAATGTTAAATAGTTATACTGTATGACTTTGATTAATCAAAATGAAAACACATAACAGTGGCCAGATGGCATCATCGCAACTTAAACTATCAAAGTTACCAAACTGTCTGTGTGCAGTGTAGTACATTCCTCCTGTAGAAATAGGCTCTGGAGACATAGGCCTCTTTTTGTAAAAGACGTAAACATGTTGATTTTACTGGAAAAGTCCCCACCAGTTTCTTTGGGATATTGACTTCCTTTTTCCTGACCCTGATGATAATGCTTCAGTCAAAATTCACAAGATGCTTTTAATGAAATGTGTTTAGCACAAGAACTTTGCTGCAGTTTTTTTTAACAGTTTTGCATTGCTCTGCACTGCCTCTGTTTATATGAGCTCACATCCTTCTTTGGAAAAGTCCAGCACATTTTCCGTCTAATTTTTTCAACCCTGGAGCTTCAGTCTAGTATTATAAACACATTAGTTCTTTCACCAAACTGTCAATATCATGCATGGACTGGACTGGGCCCTGATAATTTGATATGATAATAACATTCCTGGCATCTTATAGGAACTGAGATTACTGAGAGAGCAGCATGCTGTGGCACTTTGTGAACCAGTGTTATATTTGTGTCACTGTTTTAAATGCAAGTTAATTATCTAATAGTTCAGTTTTAATCATAGTTTAAATTTAATCATGAAAATCTTGAAAAGTATCTATCTATAAATCTGTTTTAAAATGTACAGGAGGCTGACAATCTGTTTGTTTATCATATTTGAATGTATATAATATAATATAATATATAATATAATATATAATATAATATAATACTGACAATCTGACCATTTACTCAAAATAAATAAAGAGAACTAGAGCGGTACATTTGAAGAAGAGCAGAAGTGGTAACACTATAAATATGTAAATATGTACTGTGTGAGAATATCATTGACAATGATAAGCTACAGCAGTGAAGAACTGTTCTTCCAAAAAGGCCTTGATGTTGTTCCAGGAGATGCTCTCATCTCTTCCTCTAATCTCAGGTACATAAGTGTGACTGTTCTTTGTCATCTGTGATCAGGCAGCCTGGATCCTCCTCTTCAGTGTGTGACTGGCACTGTCCAAAAGTCTCCACCTACAAACTGAGTCACTGGTTTATTTTACAATATTTTGTCAAAGACTATACAATAACAGGTTCTTTCATCTTAATACAGACAATACTGCACCATCAGAATTGACTCCTGCGACTCACTACCATTTAACTTTTTTTTTTCAGTCACTTTCGTACTTTTAGTAACTGAAAATTGGCATTTGCAAAACAGCTCATTCAAAATTCTAAACAGAATTTTTGTTTTCCTAAACAAAATTTTGTCTCAGCAAAATAGTTTTTCATTCAGAACTGATCAAATACTTGATCAAATACTGCAAAGAAGATTTGGTGGTATTTGATCAAAAATATTTATGCAGAAGAAAATTGCAAGATGTTAGACAAGCAAACACATCACCACTACTTTTTGTATGATAATATGTAACGTGTTCTTAAAAATCCAAAAAGAACAGTTTGAAGTTTATGTACTAATTGTCTGTACTCAAAGCTGAGACCCTTGTCCCTGTTTGACTCATGTGTGAAATCCTTTGCTGTTTGATTTTTGGTGCTCATAGATTGTAGAATTTTGCTGTTATGTTATGAGTTTCTGTACTGAAAGTAACAGAGCTTGGGCCAAAGTCCTGTAGCACATGAGAACAGACCTGTGGTGTTGAAAAAGTTGAAGTTGAATTCACTGATCATGTGTGTTTGTGAATGAGAGCTGTGTTAAGTGTCCTGAGAAAAACTGTAACTTGAAAACTACTGTTTCACGACATCACAAGGTGAAACAGAAAAATAATAAAGGGTTACTCAAACATGTGTGAATGAAACAAAATACAACTCCAGGTATGTTTTTGAGGAGGTAGCAACATTCTAACACGGCGTAAAGATTACAGGAGTCAATTTTGCATAATACAGGATCTTCAAGTTTCTGGCAACCTATGCAAAGCAAGCATTTGGTTTGTGGATGGAATCATTCAGTTTATGTACCTCTCTGAAACCATAACCATTTCCAGTGAATTCTAAAACAGGAAACTGTTTTTTATCACCATTGTAAAATGAGTAGTATTTATTACAATTTCCTCAATTCCAGAAAATAAAACCTTTAAAGTAAACTGACATATTAAATGTATGATGATATACTGAAGTATAGTAAAAGTGACTTATATTCAAGGCAAGTTTAAATGATTTCCTGTGAGTCAAAGACAATATCTGTATGTTGGATTCATTTTATTTACCATTTGAGTATATAATAATAATAATAATAATAATAATAATAATAATAATAATAACTTGGTAAAATAATTATATTAACAATTTACCAGGATCTCTGACATAGTCTGTGCCTTATGGCTTAGATGGTGTTGAACATTAACCAGAAATGTGTGATCAAGAAACCTTCATTTTGTCTTCTTTTGTTCCTTAACTTCTTAAGGTCTTTTTAAAGACAATACAGTAGGAGATCAGTTCTAATGTTGGCTTGCAGCTCGGGGCCGAAAAATGTTAACAAGGTAAATATATCTCCTACTTTTTGTCTAAAAATAACCTAAAGGATAAGAAGTTAAAGGGCTCATATTATGCCATTTTCTGATGTATGTCATATTAATGTTTCCTTAAGATGTCATGTGGTAATACAGGAAGTGTTCCACTGTGTTTTTACACTCCATACACCTTCACTAGAATCATTTGGATAATTTCAGCCCTGGAATTACCAATCTCCACTAAACAAAAGTAAAAGGCAGTTGTAAACTTGAAAACCACCGCTTCATGACATCACAAGGTGGAACAGACCATTCTGAACTTCGGATATGCAGAGAGTCTAATATTGCAAGATTACTAAGAGTCAATTTTGTGTAATATAGGACCTCTAATGTCAGCAGTGTGTGGGCTGTCCATGTGGGACCTTACTGCCACTAGCACCAGAGTAATCACCAGCATAAGGATGACTGGATACATTAGCCTTAGAGTCTTTTACTGCAGTGTATTTTGGGGTTTATTTAGCGTTAGCCTGTCTCCCTCTCAGTCAACACTTAGCCTAAAGTTGTACAGGAGCTCTTAGTGCAGTTATGCAGGTAGCTCTCATATTTCTGATTGCAGTGGGCAGATAAGGTTTCTGGAGGTCGCACACAGGACAAGTGGTATCAGAGCCCTGCATTCTTCTCACTGTACAAGGCACTGTATGGGGTTTGAATATTTTTGGCTTACTGCCCCGGTGCTCTCACTTTTCCTCTCCAGGGTTTTGTCCTTTGTTTTCTGTGATCCTTTGTTTGTTTGGTAGAAAGTAAACTTCTGCAAACATCACATGCCCAAGGCCAAAACGTTCAGGTTCAAAATAACACAATTCAATGTATGTGAGGTAATGGTCTTGGCTAAATGCTCTATTACACATCAGTACTATGTGTCATATCGTTTGATGTTCCACTGATAGCTATTGAGCTAAAAGTGCACTATGTAACTTTTTGGTTGGAGGTCCATCACCTGCTTGTTTTTATGTATACGTAACTACTCTGCCTGGAATGTTCCACAGTATGTTCCACAGCTCTGCTTTACATTTATTCAAGTACAGGTGGTTTTATAGCTCAAAAATATCTAGAATAACAGGAATTCTGACTGTGAGCAGGGTTGCCGCTCCACAGATTTGACCTGTAACTTAGTCTGATTTGGTCTCCATGAAGATAGAAAGGTTTAATGACGTACTGTGTAACTTTCCAGATAAAGCAATAACATCTCCATGAAGAAAAGCATATGACGGATCCTCCACCAGAAAAGTTACACAATGCACCTTTAACATCGCTTTGCTTCACTTATCTTACAAAAGTACATCATCCTGAGAAAAATATATTGGATAACATACTTGAATTTCTTTCTGTACTAAGCTGTTTTCTAAGCTATGTTATAATGTTTTTTCCTTGTCAAAACATACCAACAATGGGATTGTGTTTTGTTTCATTCACACATGTTTAACACACAAACCCAGCATATTTAGACTAAGTTCTTCTTCTTCTTCTAAAAAAACCCCGAAACACTCTGTTCCACCATGTGGCAATACAGAAAGTGCTTTACTGTGTTTTGAGCCCTGTGTTTTGAGCACTGTAATTGCCAATCTCTACTGAGCTACTACTGAACTGCAATCTCTACTGTAAAAAAAAGTCACTGTTAAAATGAAAACTACCACTTCATGACGTAGATGTTCATGATGTAGATAGACTAATAATGCAAGATTAACCAAACATGTGTGAATGAAACAAAACACAACTTCAGATATTATAACATGGCTTAAAGATCACAAGAGACAATTTTTTGTAATATAGGACCTTAAATGTATTTAAACAGCGATGACTTCTGCAGCGAAAGGCACACATGTTCCAACAGTAGAGCACACAGGTTCTTCAGGTGAGATGGCCTTTAAGACTGCAGACAAGCTGGTAGGACAACTAACACTCAATATACTCAGTATATTTGAACAGGCCCCTTAAATATTTACATTGGACATCTTTGTTCATTAGAGTGATGAGTGACAAGCACAACTTAAAGCACTGTCAATAAAAGACAACTGCTTTCCCACCTATTTGATGCATATTTAAAATTTCATGCATAAAGTTATTCCATATGGGTTATTTTTTTCTTCATCAAAGTTTAAATTGAGTGCATAAAGTAAGTATGTGATGTAATTATCATTCGTCTGTTTGTTCCTATCTGCATGCACATGGGGTTGGGATTCTTTGGTCATTTGAAGTTATATGTATTTGTTTGTGTGACTTTTTGGAAAATAAATTGTTAACAGTTATCCATAGATTCATTCCTGTTTTAAAATTCTCTCTAGACTTGAGTTACCAATCAAGTTTTATATTTTGGCTCTGTAAAATAATTCTGTAGACAAAGATTTGTATTCCCCATTCACAGAGAGGTTGGTGAGACTGTCGAGGTGTTGGCCTGTTGCCATGGGTTACAGGTGCTGGGGTAACGGTCATGTCCCAAGAGAGTGTTTCACCAACAGCCACATGCACCAATGATCCACTAACAAGTCTAATGTATAGCAAGACACTCAAGACAACAGAAAAAAATATTTTTCAACAAGACTTTACACTTCCAGACAAAAGTTTGGGCACACCCTCTCACCTAATGTTTTTTTTTTTTTTTTTTTTCTGTTTGTTTGTTTATGTTTACGACTTTATATGTTTTAAATACATACAGAAGACATCAAATATATGATGCATGATGGAATTATGTAGAAAAGAAAAAAGTGAAATAACCAAATATTTTATATTCAAATGCTCAAAGCAGTCACTTTATTTGTGGATAACACTACAAAACCCTTGGTCTTCTCTCAATAAGCTCATGATGAAGTGACATGAAGTCATTTCACAGTTGAGCCATGGCAGGGTCAAGAAATGCCAAAAGTGAAAACCAGCATTTAAAGCAAAGAGCGTTTATATATTTAAATGGTTTTAATATAAAACTGTTTTATTTTTCTCTTCTTCATTTTTAAGATCTGCCAATTATTTCTGACAACACTTCCTTCCATGACTGATCTGCTGATCTGTATGTAACCTATCTGCTGCCATGGTGGCAGTAATCATTTGTAATTACAGAGTCTTCAAGAGACTGGGAGGCCACCATAGCACAGGGACTGCCATTAGTGCATTTTTCAATCAGTGTTTGGAGTCCAAGGAATTTCCTGTATGTAAGAATTTCCAATTTAAATGTTTGTTGGTTCACTGAAAATCCTTCATGATAAATGGATAAAAAATTAAACCTGATAAGATACACAAGTGGTGGTGAGACAAGCATGCAATATCAGATAAGGTTGCGAAAGTACAAATAAAACATGCAGGCATGAGCCCCAATGAACCATTGCATGAGTGCAATACTGCACTGACACATTTACGGTGTTAACCCACAAACCCACTAACAAAAAGTATGACTTCATCAGAAACAACTTGCTCCCACAGTGTGCTACTTAAACAGCATGAAAGAATGTTCTGTAAAAATATGTGTGAGATGTTTTAGTATTCCCTTTTTTTTTTTTTTTTTTTTTTTTTCCATTCCAAATTGGCTAGTTCTCTAGTCTTTCCTGATATTAAAGACTTTAAGCCCAGAGGATGGTTGGTTTCCTGTCTCACATGGTTTATTATTTTTTTTATTGTACCCTGGAGGAGCACTATGTGACTTTTCTATTCCTACCTCCATTGACCATGCTATTGCTTTGCTTAAAATGTTTGAAAGTATGGCATTATTCAACTACATGTGTTCATATTGCTAAAACCATACCTTAAAAAACATGTATCACTGCGAGCCGGGTTACCTCTTCACAGAGCTAACTTGTTAGTCTGGTTGTGATAGATAATTTAATGCCATGGTGTGGAGCCTCCTTTTAATTTAATGCAGGCCTAAGCAGTCAAATGGTATGAGCAAATCATCCATCTACAAACAGATCACATTGTGTTTCTCAGCCTCTCTGTCCCTCCTGAAACATGACTCCAGACCATTTTGTTCACTGCTCTCCATTTCAGAAGTGGCACAAGTACAGACAGATTTCTCATGGACAGTCTAGTCATGCTCCAATTACACAGATGATGGATAGGACACAAATAACACAGGGCTATTTGGATTCAGCAGAGCATCCCTCTAGATGTCTTTAGTAGCTCAGTAACACAGTCTGTCTTTACTCAAGTGAATCTGACTGCGGTTTGGGAAGAGGATGTGTGCAACAGTCACACACAGGAAAACGCACAGGCCTGTTTCGACATTCTACTTAGGAGAAGTTGACACCAGCGACTTGTTATGTCCCATGACTCCCATGAGGAAAGGTTATGCATGACATAAACATTATAGTCAGTGGCAACACAGGGTTGTGGATGTCTGATAATGTATTTCATATTATTATTCCTCATAATACTGCATTCTTATTATCCAGAAGCACATACTGTATAGACAACAAATGGGTTTGCAGTTCTTCCAAATTATATGTTTGGCTTTTTTTTAAGAATCTGCCCAATATATATCTAACCCCTAAAAAGAAAAGAAAAAAATGTAGAGCTTATCAATCATTGACTGCTCTGTATGCTAATCTAAGTTCAGAAAAGGAAATTTAATACTGTTTGGATCTTACACCTATTTTTAAACATATATAGTATAACATATACAGTATGCACTGGTCAAGGCTGGGATTTAAATGTTATATTAGATGGGTAATTGCCCCATCTTGGATAATCAAGTTGTCTGAATATGACTCTTATAAATGCTCCAAATAAGCCTGTGCTATACTGTATAGCAGACAAAGCTGAGCAGTGCTAATGATTGACAGCTTAGTGTGCTTTGGGAACATACTTTTTGCACAGTTTGGCTCCCTGTATGGACTTTGGGTAATAATCTGCTCACAGCATTGCATACCATGCTGACCTTCACTGTTCTGAGTAAGTGAAAGATCAACCTAAATACATTCTAACTTCTCTTTGTTAAAGTACACCACTAAAGTGTCCTTTCCAGCTATTGAAAATCTAGGTAGCAAATAATTACTCACCAATGAGCATTTCTAACTACAGCCTTTCTGTTGGCTTTCTCTTTCTGAGAGCAGACACAGATAATCATTTGGGTTCACGCATGATTGGCCTAATTGATTTGGACTAAATTTTACACTATATTTAATATTTTTGTGACTGAATATATGTGAATCTATAACAGTAATATTATCAAATGTTAAAAATGTAAAAAAGTAAACCATGACTAAAATGCTGTGGAATAGATTCAAACAATTTGTCAGCTATATGAAAAAGCTAAACTCTTTCCACCACTTGAGACTTCCTGTTATGACACATGTTTTGTATCCCTAGACAACCTAACACCAACACAACTTTATTTAAAGGTGCACTGCGCAACTTTCTGGAGGAGGGTCCGCTTCCTATTTGTCTCTGTGGGGATGTGATTGTTTTGTCTAGAATGGATATGAATGAATTTGCCTAGTATAGATTAACCCATCACAAAGGAGACAAGGCAAGGCAGTAACATTGCCATGGAGACAAGCAGAAAAGTTGCACATTGCACCTTTAATGTGGTGATGTATAGATGAGCCGACTGCCTTCTGATGTTTCTGCTCCAAACAAAATGCACCATTGGTCAGCCGGGCTCACACTCGAGACCCAATGTCACACGACCCAAGGACATCGCTGCCAGGATCTACACAGACACAAAGAGCCTATTGTAGCTCAAAGACAAATCACAAAATACTTAAATAATGGAATTGACCTCAATCTACAAAAGACTGAAAATGCAGTGTTTCTTGCATGTGAGAACAAACTGAAGTAGAAGTTCAAGATTTAGAATCTTCATGTGAGGAATTATTTGTACATACCAATGACAAATATGTCATGCATGTACTCTGTTGATAATACTGAAATTCTAGTGTGAAAAAGAAAGGTACATATTTAATATAGTAGATTAAAAAAAAGTTCATTTTAGTATCTTAACAAAATATAAAAACAACAATGTATGACACATTTAAGGCTCAAAACCACATTCAGTCTGTGTTGTGTGCATTTGAACACACCCTTGTTTCTCATTAACGTCAGCAAACAAAATGTACTATCAACATGCCAAACAAACAGCATTGTTCAAGTGAAGTATCATAAAGGTTTATGAGAATCTGTCTCATTGACTTTGAAGAACAATGAGTTGGTGTCTGGTGAGGTCTCAGGAATTTCTTGAACCTTGGAGGCATTTTACAGCGGTTAGTTGTCGTTAGACTTGCTTAGTGATTAAAGAGACACATTTAACATGTTTTTTCACTTCCTTAATGTCATTTTTAAAGTAAAAATTTCAACATGTAATTCTTAAATAGCCACATTCTGTTTTTTGTTTCACAGAGGCGTCAGTTGGAATCTGAGATTTTCTTAGAAATGATTATGATGTTGCTTAAGCTATTAAAGCCACAACATTTCAGTGCTATGTTACACAGTATATGTTTATTCATTTAGAGGTTTCAATAATGCATTTTGCAAGTGTGTTTCATCTTTATCTATTTAATCAAGTATTAATTAAAGATGTAGTCACAGAAGCAGAGATTATTATTGGAGTAATTTTAAAGGTCCCATATTAAGCAAAAAATAACTGTTGTGATATTTGAGCCATGTTATAATGCTACTACCTCATCAAAAACATACCTGGACTTGTGTTTTGTTTCATTCACACATGTTTGAGTAACCCTTTATTATTAGTCTGTCTATATCTCCAAAGTTCAAAATGATCTGTTCCACCTTGTGATGTCATGAAGCAGTAGTTAACAGTTCCTTTTACCTTTTGTTCAATAAAGATTGGCAATTCCAGAGCTGGAATTATTCATATGATTCTAGTGAAGGTATCCGAAGTTTAAAAACACAAGGGAGGATCTCATGTATTACCACATGGCATCACAAGATTGTTGGAGTGGTTGATTGAAAATCCTCCGGTGATTAATGGATATAAAATTAAACCTGATAGGATGCAAGTGGTGGTGAGAAAAGAGTGCAATATCAGATAAGGTTGAGAAAGTACAAATAAAACATGCAGGCATGAACCCAAATGAACCGTTGCATGATAGCAATACTGCACTGACACATTTATGGTGTTAACCCACAAACCACACAAAGCATGACTTCATCAGATCAGAAACAACTCCCACAGTGTACTACTCAAATATTTTTTTTATATTTAAGTTTTTTGAATTTCCATTACAAATTGTTTTGTTCCAAGAAATATGCTTTAAATAGTAATTCATGCCTTTCTGACATTAAAGACTTTTAGCACAGCCGCAGATTGGTTTTCTGCTTCACCACAAAGAGCGTCTTTTTTTGTTGTTTTTGTACTGTAAGTGTAAGAGGCACTATGTGATTTTCTGTTGCCTTCATGGTGATGCTACTGTTTTGCTTAAATTGTTTGAAACATTATTCATTGATAACATTATTCATATACAGGTGTTCATATTGCTAAAATAATACCATGAAAAACATGTATATCCCAAGATAGAACAGAGTGTTTTCTGTCTGAGAGAAAAACTCAGCCTAAATATGCAGGATTTGTGTATTAAATATGTGTGAATGAAACAAAACAAAACTCCAGGTACATTTTAGATGAGGAAACAACATTATAACAGACCAGAAAAAATCATAACATGGACCCTGTAAGGATTAAGTCCAACCAAAATGTATGCTTCTTTTGCTTCTCTTTCCTTTCTGCTTAAACAGTTCACATTTCCTCAAATTTAACAGGAAGGGTGTGTGATTGGCCAGGATCTATTGTGATCTTTATGAATCACTGCCATGATTTCAAGAAAACTTCCTCTTTCATTTTGAGCTCCAGACAGCTTAATGTGCAGTTTGTTACTGACACTGTTTTTTCCAGATGCTGTGTTTCATGTTTCATGTGCTACTTCACTACACATACACATAGTGAAATATCATATTGATACATTGCAGTGGCAACATGCTGGGGGTATTCTGTCTGTATGTTTATGATGGAATGTTCAGAAGTTACTATGGTGACATAATGCACCTATCATTATCAAATACAGCCAAAAAGATTGTCTTAAAACTCAAAAAAAAAAAAAAAAAAAAAAGAAAAAAACAAACAAAAAAAACAGCATTTTTCAGGCACATGTGATTAGTATGAGAGTTCATGGTCCTAACTGACTAACACAGTGGCTAATACAGTCTAAAGTTTGCTGAGCTCACCTGTTGTAGTCCCAGCTAAATCAGTTCTTCATTAGGGTTGTAAGAAAAAATCAGTTCAGTGATATATCATGATACTTCATTACTTCATCAAAATGCATCCAAATAGATTTTTTCTGTTATATTTTCCATGACAATTCCTTAGTTACATTCACTGTTCTCATGATTTAAAAAATGTAATAAATAATGTTTCCTACAATTCTGTTCTTGAAAAAAGTGTAGTGACTATATTATTAAAAGTAATTATTGATAAATTGCAATGTATCATCCATTGTTTCAGTATTGGGATATATCATGATATGTTGAATAGTGACATGCATGATATGTATTGTATTATCAGATTTAAGGCAATCCGTACCCCTATTCTTTATGGTCAATTAGTGTTAAAATAAAGCTCAGTTTAAAGCCTAAGGTGAAGTGGCTGGGATGAAGATCAGCTCCTTAAAATCCGAGGCCATGGTTCTCAAACTGAAAAAAATGGCTTGCCCTCTCTTGGTGGGTGGGGAGTCCCTGCCTCAAGTGGAGGAGTTCAAGTATCTCGGGGTCATGTTCACAAGTGAGGGGAAGATGGAGTGTGAGATTGACAAGTGGATGGGTGCAGCATCTGCAGTTATGTGGCTGCTGTATCAGACCGTTGTGGTGAAGAGGGAGATGAGCCGAACAGCAAATCTCTCAATTTACCGTCAGTCTCCGTTCATCCCCCACCTGTGGTCATGAGCTCTGGGTAATGACCGATAGACTGCAGAAACAAGTGCTCAAAATGAGTTTCATTCACAGGGTGGCTGGGCGCTCCCTTAGAGATAGGGTGAGGAGCTCAGTCACACAGGTGGAGCTTGGAGTAGAGCCACTGCTCCTCCTCGTTGAGAGGAGCCAGCTGAGGTGGCTTGGCCATCTGTTGCGGATGCCTCCTGGGTGCCTCCCTCGGGAGGTGTTCCAGGCATGTCCCACCAGAAGGAGGCCCTGGAGAAGACCCAGGAAAGCTGGAGGGACTATGTCTCTCAGCTGGCCTGGAAATGCCTCGAGGTTCCCCGGGAGGAGCTGGAGGAAGTGTCCGGGGTGAAGAAAGTCTTGGAGTCCCAGAATAGACTGCTGCCCTCAAGACCCAGCAGAAGAAAATGGATGGATGGATTAAAGGCTAAAACAGAGTAGAGCCTACAGTTAGAATCACTCCTCCAGAGAATGTTGATGACATCAGCTGCAAAGTATCCAAACCATCAGTAAGAGTCATATTAAAATAGTCCATACAATATTTCTGCTGTCACCAATGTTCAAAATTTCCCATGTTCAAAACCAGGTTCATGTCTATTTGTTTCATGTTTCTAAATGACTTTGTTCTATAGGGGCCCAAAAATCCTTGCATCGGTCCCATATTAATTAAAGATGATCCACACATAGCTGCATGGGCAGCAGCCAGCAGTGGCTCTGAGTGCTACTGTACTTGAAGGCAGAAGATACTGTTGGGTGATTACAAACACTTGAATGATCACCTGAGACTGCAGGGCCATCTGAGGACACCTGAATTCTGGCAGCCAGTTGACCTCTTCACACTTGCATCTCCTTCATTCTATCCCCTCCTGTTAGTGACATGGGCTAGAACAGGTCTTGCTCCATTACTGCTCTGTGATTGGTGAGGGACCGAAAGAGAGCACCTGGTATTCACCCTTAAAGTGTGTATGTGACAAATGTTTCTACTGCTAATAATAATAATTAATAATAAATTATAATTTGGTGAGATTATAATGATAGTTTTACAAAAATCAATGAGCATTTTGTGAAGAAAAGAGGAAAAGTATGTTGAAAATTACAGAAAGTAGAGAGTTCTGAATCACTGATGACAAAAGTTTTTCACAGTTTATACACAGGAAACACATTTTTTTTCTGATACTTTAAACATGAATTCAACTTAAAAGGTTCTTTCTTATATTTGTAATAGTCAGATAATAATTGCTGTGCATTATGGTGTGTGTTGTCATGATTTCCAACCAGGAAGTAAAATTTTAACCCTAAAAAAATGAGTCAGACCTGTCATAGGCACTTTAACCCTGATCCCGGCTGCCCACACATATGCATATATATAAAATACCATATTTCAAATAATGTATGACAGTAACAGAACATGTGATATATGAGGTGATTAGTGTTCAGCAAACTAATGACTATGATTAACAATGTGATATTGAGAAGCTAAAGTAATTAACAGTAAAGCGGTCCTTCTTGATCATATTTAAAAGGGAAGATCACACAGTGACAATTGACTACTGTGCAAGAATACAACAATATGTTAGACTAAGACAAACTTTATTGATCAACAAGGGAAATTATTTGGACAATAGCTCACACATATATATAATAATAACAAAGAGCAAAAATATAAATAATAATAATACATTCAAAACAAGAAGCAAAAATAGCATGAGACTGGTTTCAATTATGACATAATAATATAAATGTATATGTAAATGCCAGTGAAAACAAGTATTGATAGTATTTATAGTGGGTGTGTTGGAAGACGTTGAATTTTTTTTTTAAAATTATTATTATATTGTATTTATTTATTCAAATACTAAATATAAATAAATAAAAGCCCATTAGACACCATTGTTCGATCTCACCTCACCCTGAATTACATGCTGGTAGTTGTAAGAGGAGTTATAATAGTAAAAGGGATATTAATGTAAACTTGTGGTTTTTTTGCATAGTATTATAGATGAAAACACAGGTTAAGATTGTTATTAGAGTATAAGGCAGTTTATTGTTTCCACAACAATCAGCTCTAGGCCTGTTAACTGGAGGCTCTAATGTTTTTTGTTTAAGTCAAACCACCTTCATCCAGGCGTGGCTCATTAAATGTGGCCTAGAGACTGGCCCCCTGCTGTTGGGACCCCCATCACCCATCACCCAGGAGCCCACTTCACCTGCTGCACTGCCCCATCCACCATCTGTCTACATGAGGGCACCAGTTGAATTCTATATGTAGCGACTGCTTTTTTTTTTAACAATACTTTGTCATCATGCTAACTGTGAGCTTTGTTTTAACACAATCTGACATAAAGAACTGACTTAACTGGAATTACAGCAGGTGAGATGATCTGTGTTATTAAACCAGTCCCTCTCAATAACATAACAGTCACCAGCTACAGTAGATGACTACAGTTAAATTAGTCACGCTTACCTTTTTAGTCAATTAGTCACCTTTCCTGTTGAACACCAAACTCCTAAACAGGACCATAAATGATTGTTTTGATTACAGGCTCCTGAAAATGTGTTGATTAAATCCATTTTATAACGTTTTCAGATAGATCTTAAATCGCATTTGGTTGTCTTTGCTAATGTGAGCATTACTCATAGGTAGAACGCCTTCAGCGTGATATCACTGTAAGTTGATTATTATAAGACATGCAATACTGATGAGCTGTCTACACTCCTTATGAACAGTCTTTTGAAATGTGGCATGACAGGAACTCGGGTTTTTAAAAATTTCCTGTCACACAGATAGGTTGGGTGCAGTAGTTTCAGTGAATAGAGACAAATCCCAAAAGTAAAGAGGTGGTTTTGAAACTGTGAAGGCTTACATACAAAAACTATTTACCCCCAGCAAGTGACATTTTCTCAGTTAGTTAAAGGTCCTGTATGCACAAAACTAAAAAAAAAAAAAAAGAAAAAAAAAAAAAAAAACTAAACTCAAATATTTTAATATGTCCTAATGCAAAAACATTAAACATTCAGTAATCCTTCATGTTTCAACAATCACTTAACTCTCTTCAGATATGAAAAAGATCAATCTTGGGACATAATTTTTATCCCATGTTTCTAAATGCCTAATATCTCCATAAGAGTTACAATTTCTAATTGCCTTCACTAAAATGCTATTGAGTTTTGAAGTCACAAGCTACAACTTTAACTCTCATTTAACAGCTTCATCCTAAGAGCATCAAGTCCTTGTGATCTCATGCCAACTGTGGAGTTTTGGGTCAAAATTAAATCAGAACTAACTTATTCCCATTTAATACATTTTTACTGCTATATGAGAGTGATTTTTTGTGTATCAGTTTTTATTGTTGATTTTCAGATTCTACAATGTGATGACATCATTATTCCAGGTGGGACAGTTTTATCTATTGATTAATCAATAGGAAAAAAAAAAAAAAAACTCAAACTTTTTTTTTTTTAAAATACATGACCCTAGAACTTGCTATATTTCAACCAAAATATGTATTTTGCCCAATATGAATATCTAATTTCTTAAATAGTATGGGCCTATAAAATGTTTTGGTGTCCCCTGACGGTCCAAACTTTCACTGTCTTCAGTTCGAGATAGTTTCCAAGACGTTCTGAGCTACAGTCTATCTCTTTGGTACTGTGAAGTGGAAGTGTTTTTTACTTGTTATAATTCTTAAGAACCTGCTTCATGTCCTGTTGGTCACTTCTTTAGGGGTTTGATGTTTCATATTACAAAAGGTTACAGACTCTTTGAGGCTGATTTTTATCCTGACGTTTTCAACTGTGATTATATGAATATATGATTTCCACGTTTATTAAATATTAGGGTTCGAGTCTATAAAATGTATTGATGTCATCTGAAACCCGATTGATTGATAAAGTGATAAACACACACTGAAGAGGGGCAGACGGGGCACGAGTAGGACACAGGCCTAGCCAATACAAAAACAAAAAACAAAACAAAAAAAAGATACTTGTAATTACAGACACACAATTTCAAATAATACCACAAAAACTTGCCCCCAAAACCTGCCCCAAAAACCTGTCACGTCATCTGAAACCTTACCGACAGTTGGCCCCGCCCCTCCGCTGGGACCAGAGCGCGTAACGTCACGTCGGTGGCGGTGGTCTGTGCTCAGTGATCGCACTCAGAAGGAGCCGACTGACAACAGCAGCTCTGCTCCACAAAAACACACTAGCCTCCACTTAGCTGCCGCAGAGGACGCGTGGATTTACAAAACTACTACATCGACCATGGACTGAGTTGGCTGCAGGCAGGAGCGAGAAAAGGTGAGGGACTTTTTAGTGGGTTGATCGAGCACTTTGTATCTCCACATTTCACAGTCACGCTTCAGTCAAGTGTTGAAAAGTTAACTCACAGTTACTCCTTATCTGCGTAAATTTGACATCGATTAGATCAGTTTTTTGGGTTCTCTCTTACCATATGGGAACTTTGTCAGACCAACAAGTGTGAATAATTCTTCTGATTAAAAAAAACAAACCCGCGGGCAAATTTCCTGTAACCCAACTGAGCCAACAGCGCGTCAAGTTCGACTATACTGTCTTTGAAGCTGTCCTATACACACATCACTGTAAGTTATATGTCCCCGCGCCTCCAATACGGAGCTGGACCAGATAAAATGTTTCACATCACATGAGTTACATTTTCCACTGTTGCTCTGCATACAAGTGTGGAGCGAGCTGCTATGTTTAGACAGAGAAATGTCCAAGCCACATTTTCCCTTAACAAAGGCAGGGTGGACCATATGACTAATGTAACAAATCTGTAAAGTGGGAAATATTTCCGTTCTTTAAAGGTCCTATATTACGCAAAAAATAGTCTTGTGAGCTTTAAGCCATGTTAAAATGTTGATACCTAATCAAGAACATACCTGGACTTGTGTTTTATTTTATTCACTCGTTTGAGTAAGCACAAAATGCTCTGTTCCATCTTGTGATGTCATGAAGCAATAGCTACTTTTAATTTGTTGTTTATTAGAGATTTGCAATTCTAGATCTGAAATTATCCAAATGATTCTGATGAAGGTGTATGGAGTTTAAAAACACAGTGGAGCACATCCTTTATTGCCACATGACATCTCAAGGTGGAACAGAGTGTATTCTGTTTGAGAGAAGAATTCATTCTAAATGTGCAGGAACTGTGTGTTAAACTTGGATGAAACGAAACACAACTTTAGGTCTGTTTTTAATGAGGAAACAACACTTCATAACAGATCGGAAAATAGCTTAATATGGGCTCTATAAGCCTATCAACTTGCACAGTCTTCAGTATCAGATTGTTTAATACCAAGACGTTCTGGGTTACAATCTCTCAGCTATCTCTTTTGGTTGTTGTTGAAGTGTTTTGTTTTGTTAGTTTTTTTGTTTGTTTTTAATCTTGTCATACGTCTTAACAAATCGCCAGCTTCTTGTGCTGTTGATCACTTCTTACTCATGTTGCTGTTTTAATGTTGTGAAATTTTAGTTTCTTAGTGGTTGCATATTGATGTGTTCATTTCCTCCCAGATGCAAACCGTGTGTGATTACTTCAACAAAGCTAGTTCTCATTTTTATTTAATTACTTTATTTCTTTACATTTGGATTTGGAGATATTTCAAGTCTCTGAACTAGGCTGGGACTGTTGTGGGACAAGAGTTATTTATAAGTTGAGCTTTGTAATATTATTTCCCCAGGGCAATATATTTTTTTGGCTCCAACGCCTATTTCTTCTTAAAGGTTGAATTTGATAACCATTAACAATGAAAAAGAACAAACCCCTCTTGCAGGTATTGTACACAACAAGATTTATTGTGTCTGATGAAACTTTTCTTAAAACTATACCAATAACAAATTTAATAGCACACTGACTCACTTTTACATGCTCTTTTCATAACTTTTGTAACTTCATTTTTTTCTGTCACATTTTTAGGTCAGGCTAAATGAGACTAAGACCGGGGGCTGCTGCTAATTATGGGCTCGTCCCATTAGGTCTGTGTCAGTTAAACATGTGAGCTATTAACTCTGAATTGGCCAACATTTATATCAACCTCTTCATTATGTAGAGCCTTGCATTTAAATAGCCTGGACCTGGGGCATGAGCTAGGCTGCAAGAGAAAGTTGGTTTGAATGAATGCCTTTACCTGGACGTGTGCCTGATCTCCTTATCACATAACTGGAGGTGAGTGTTAAACTAATCTGCACGCACAGAAGGCTCCCTGTGTGCAGTACTATCGGAGGTAGAGTGCCCAAAAATGATACTCAAGTAAAAGCACTTAAATACTTGCGTTTACGTTTTAATATTAAGGTATTACTTATAGGTACTTTGTGTAACTTTACTGGTAGACGGTTTGTTTCTATGAATATGTCATTGCTCTGCCTGGAATGTTTTACAGTATGACATTAGCCCTATTTTATTCACTCACAGGAGGTTTTACAACCCAAAAACAGGTATTCTGACTGTGAAAAGGGTTGCCTCTCCACAGATCTGAACTGTAACTTGATTTGGTTTGGTCTTCGTCAAGATAGAAATGTTTTATACCGTACTGTGAAACATTCCAGACAAAGCAATAACCTCTCCATGGAGAAAAGCATTTTACAGGCCCTCCACCAGAAAAGTAACATAATGCACTTTTAAAATACTATTAATGACTTAAATAATATAAAATAATATGATGATAAATTATAAGAATGTCTGATTTATGTAATTGAAAGGACAAAACTTTTTCCTGGGCTTGACCATCACAATTCGAAAAACTAAGATCTCGAATCGAATTCTTGCTGTTCCTTTTTATTAATTTCTTGTATGTTTACCCTCAACACTATTTATGTCTTTTTATATTTTAAGAAATAAATAAATAAAGTCATATTTGAAGGAGTAGAGCAAGAAAGACAAATGTTAACATTCACAGTTCAAGCACTTAAGTATGTACTTGAGTATATGTAACTGTACTAGGCTTCTGCTTACAATAAATTTGTGCTAAAACAAATGTAGATATTAAACAGAAAATAATATAGCTCTTTGTTGTGAGAAACCTTCTATTGATTTGTATGAAAACATATGTCACAAATATCTAACAGCATTAAATAAGACTTCGCTCTTTCCTTCCCCTTTTCCTGTCATTGTCACCATATTGGGAAGCAAGCTCATTCAAAATGTCAGCAACACTCCCCAGTATAGTCCTGACATTCGCTAATGGATGCTATGCTGAGTTTTTATTGGAGCAGAGACATTACTGGTTATTGGAAGAAGATTAGGTTTCAAAATGTTTTGCTTTCACATTGTTGGTAATTTGGGGATGACAATAGTTACTATACTCAAGCTGTTTACAAAATGCTGTTGTGCCACTTCTGTAAGAGGATATCACTGTCCTATTCAGATATTACTTGTCAATCCAATAGAAGTGTGCTAAAGCATGTCTTTAAATAAAATGATTAATGTTTCAGTGTAACAACTGTGAAATTATTAAAATTACCTACAAAAATGTTGAAATATCTTATTTGGAGCCCGACCGATATATCGGTTGGTCGATATTATCGGCTGATATGGGCAACTTTAGGCATATCGGCTATCGGCCGATATGCTTGCTGATAGGGGCCGATATTTCACGTGGGCATGTTATACCTCGTTATAAAGCTTAGACTCTCTACATTCTGTTCATTTAATCCAATTTACAGACAGATAAATGTCCTCATTTGTGGCTCCACATCAGTATTTATCTACGGAGTCATTTGTCAGTGTGTGTCCGTACTGTCCCTGAACACACCACAGAGTCGCGTCACTCACGTGTGTTGTTTACAACTGCAGACATAGATCCAAACACTGAGATTATATTCTTTTTACGGACAATCGGTTTGAGTCTGGATTAAAAGGACATTTATTAGTGCAGATTTGTGATGTGAGGAGGAGCCTGTATGAGCGGTGAGTGTTGGAAATATGTCGACTCTGAAGCTAGTTTTTGTCATTTGTTATGGGTTAGCTGCTGTAGCTCCCGCACATAAACAGACTGTTTTCTATTGATCTGTTCTAAAGTGACTATATTGGCCGTATATTTGCTACTGGACCTGCACTGATATGTAAATGAGCTGTGAATAGACGTGTGAATTATGACATTTCCACATATAATTAATTACTGCGGCGCGCACGTATTTACGGCTAAAGGCTAATAGCGCTACTTTCTTTACTAGTTATGGGTCCGTCGCGAACGAAATGACTCTTAGAACCGGCTCTTTGAAGGGAACGACGGGAGCCTGATCCTTATTGGGAGCCGTGTTTTCTCTTTTTCTCACTTTTTTCCTGTTCACGCCGCGTGATTCGTGGTTTGACAGCGGCAGCGGCTAAAAACGAAACTTTGAGAAATTTGCGTACGTAGGATTAAAAAAAATAAAAATAAAAAAACGAGCATATTTGACTAGTTTAGCATAAAATAAATAAGTCCCGGTTTAGTCCTTTTTCAGTCCTGGTTTAGACCTGGTTCAGTCCTGATTCAGTCCTGCTTTAGACGTGCTTGCAACAAAACAATCTGAAGAGCCACTTGGGAGTCAAAAGAACCAGCAGCTTTTAGTGAGCCGAGCCAGAAGAGCCGGTTCTCTAAAAAGAATTGGAATACCCATCACTAGTGTCTAGAATGTGATGCAAAAATGCGATTAAGCCAACCTACTGTCTGTAAATATGATGTAAAGAGGCAGAATAACAATAAATGTTGCCTAAATAAACCCAATTTAAAATCCACCAGAGCCAAACCTACGTTTTTTAAACAATTCAACATTTATAGTGAATTTTTACATCACTAAATATATCGGCGATTATATCGGCTATCGGCAGCGCCAACTCCCATTATATCGGTTTCATATCGGCCACAGCAAAATCCATATCGGCCAGGCTCTAATCTTATTTGCATTATTCATTTATTTTTACAGCATTTTTAAACAACATACTTAATATTCAATTACAAACTATGTAAACTATTAATTTTATACTTCTTTGTACCAACCCAAAAATGTTTTATGGGACAGAAGAAGGCTTGTCTTTTTATAGCGCTGCAGCTTTACAAGTATTTAGCCATAAAAAAAACAACTAAATAATTTTGTTGCATTTCCTGTACAATGATGCCTCTTTTTCAGGCACAAAGGGGGAAGTCGGTCACTATAAGCTTACCGCAGAGAGTGTTAAAGGTATACTTACATATGACATATTTTCCTTTTTATATTATTAATACTTGATACTTCTTGTTTGCTAAACTTTGACAACCAGTCTATATTATTAAGCTACAGTGAAGTGTCTGCAGTAAGATAACAGTTAGACAAAGACACATGAGGAACTCCAGACATGAGCCACATTTGTGTGGTGAACTTCAGGTTACATTATCAGTCTACAACAGGAAGAACCCAGAGCCATAACTACAGTACAGAACAATGCTTTTATTGATGCTTGTTTGTTTAGGGCTTTTATGCACAAAACATGTTTGAGTGCACTTCTGATGTATTTCCATAGGCACATAGCTTCTGTGGTCAAACATTTGTACAGATTTTTCAGAAATGTTAGGTATTTGGTGGTGAAATCTGCCTGTAGGGTTGGGTGAGAAAAAAAAATAAAAAATTTTTCACTCTCTTTTCAATTCATCATGGTTTTTGATTGAGGTTTATTTTTCCTTACAAAGCACAAATTAAAATGGTTTATTTATTTTATTTACATAAACGAATGATAAATATGTGTCTTGTTTAGTTCAGTTTATCTGTCAAAAAGTATGAACTTTGATACAAAGAACATGCTTTTACTGACCACCTGTAGTCCTGTCACTAAAAAATATTTTTTTAAATCCAAGCTGATCATTAACATTTTGAAATGATTGGATCTTGGTTTGATTAAACATTGATTTGTTGCACAAATCCTCCATGGCTTATACATTTAATAAAGTCATCACACATTTTTTATTATTATTTTTTTAAATCTGTGAGGTTGCTACTTGGAGTCATTTACTAACCAATAGATGAATCAGTATTTATGGTAAATAGGGAACAATGAGTTTTTATTGACGCTGTGGAAGTTATTTTTTAGTTAAATGTATGGTGTAACTTTTATGTTTTGTTATATATAAACATGATTACATTTACATTTCATATTATTATTATGTAGTATGTTTCATTTTTTCATTTCATTTATTTATTTTTATATATTTTTTTCCTCTTATTTGAGCTCGAAAAGGAGTGGGAATACATACTCATTCTCTGGTTTTATTTACAAATGGAAGTTAGAATGTTTTGCATAAGTGCAGACCACAATGAAATACATTGTGTGTTTAGTTGTGATCTGTTGATGTGACTGTGTTTCATTAAAAGCTATACATTGTCAGTCATTATTTTGATTCTCTCCTTGCTTAAGATGGATGTTGCCTCAGTTGTAGTTACTTAGCAGTGACGGGTGTGGCTTGTCGCTAACCTCTGGGACAGCCTTATGTAAACGCCTCTAATACCAGTGAGCTCGGGCCAGCACATGGTTTCATTAGATGTACAATTCAGTCATCATCTGTTCACACAGTTGAGTCATGTGTCTGGATTAAGTGTGACATGTTTTTGCAGTGCATTACACATGTTCTTCCACAGGCTGTGTGCTTTTACCCAACAACATGCTACACTTTGGATTACAGTGAGAGCTGCGTACACAGAGGTGACCTTTAGCTTGTGGAGCTGGAGTGACAAGTATTTGTTGATAATGAGAAATTCCTGTCTATTTTAAGTACGTCGAGGGGGGATTATTATGGGCTTTGTGTCCCACTGTCATCTTATATGGCAATGTGTATTCGTGGGAGCCTGTTGTGGGGCTAATTATTTAAATAGTGAGGAACAGACTCGACTGGTTTGTCCCAACAGTTGGACACACCCTGTTGTGCCTCAAGAGTTGAATGACCTAAGATCTCATTGAAGGGCTCTATAGTATCCCATATTCATGTTAATATTAACAACATTGTGTTAACAGTGGCCACTGAGCAGCACAGTTTAATATTGCACTGACTGTGATTAAAGCTAACACAAAAGCTATACACATTGTGCCTGCTCTGTTTGCTTATGTTAGTACATGCAGATATCCTCCTGGCCTCTGTCCTTTGAGAAAATAAAGTGGCTCGTGATGGTGACTGTAGACAGAGACAGCATGTCAACCGCTGGCTATTTCTGGAGCCCTCTGAGTGCTATGCTGCTAATAGAGCAACATTTATACAGAATCATATGAGCTCAGTTCAATCGGCCAGGTCTATCCTGTTGGAAAATGTCCAGAAAACCCAGCAGGAGGAACTTACATCAAAGGCAGTGTTACATATTACACAATAGCTTTAAACTGTATTACACATTTACATTAGCCTTCAAGCACAACAGATATTAGTTGAGAGCACACAGAAACATTTTGAAACATTGAAAGATTTGTGCATATTTTTCCTCTCAAAAGCCGAATGTGCTCTTTTAAAGCATTCAAAATGTGCTTGGGCAAAACTCATACTACACAAATTGAGACAAAGATTCCAGTATACAAATTTGGTCATTAATTAAATACGTTTAACATTGTGTTATGCTTGATTGCTATTTTTATTGTCAGTGAAACAAGTATTAAAAGTATTGCAGTATAATTTTTGAGGATTCTAGTTGTTGTAGGCCTGCTACAATAAAAAAAATTGAAGTCAATATAAACCTATAAACAACAATATAAACCTAACCATAAAGCAGAATTGTCCACAAAACAGTATTCTAAATGTAAGATATTGTTAAATATTGTTGAGATGCAATAAATAACAGAAAGAAACAGTTAAGCAATTAGTTTGTGTAATTTCATTTCATAATTCAATCTTCTACAACTCAAATCGTATCATATTACAGAAAAAATACAAAAAATGTCCCATTAGTACAAAGAAAAATTACCACGATAAAGACTGAATCCCCCCTAAATTATTGTTTCATTTAAAATATATTGAACAATAGCGTATTTATCATGACAGGTCTAATTGTAGTGACATGAAATTAAGAAAATGTCATTTATTATCAGCCTTATATATTGAATTAAAACTGTTTTTGGTGGTAACACTGCGAGTAATGTGTATCTGTTTACCTCCAATGGCCTAATGATTAACTCAACTCAGTGAGGCGGGCTTAAGGACATCTTCACTCCAGCATCAACACAAACTGCTGTTCCTGTTTATTATTTACCCAGGTGAGACACCCAAAAACTAAACTTGACTGGGGTATTTATTTACAACTATTTTGTAAAAAAGGCAGAGTGTGGCTTTTTCTGTTCCAAAATGTTCCCTAGTTAGTTTCATATATGCACTTATTCCAGGCACAGTTCAATGCATCTGTTTGATATCTAATGCAGATTCTGAGTGGTTACACGTTAACGATTCGTTTTTGGGTTTTTTTTGGTTTTTTTTAGAAATAATGGACTAACATTGATGTAATCAGTAACAAATGTTTGGCTCTCGAATTTGAACTGTGTGCTTGTGTGAAAATGGTGGGTGGGGCTTTTGAGGCGAGGTTAAAGAATGGGAGAACCTTACACAGGGCCTATTGATTTGCATTCAGTAAAGCTTAGTATATGTGAGTGTAAAACAGGAGTGAACCACCTGCTGCTGTGTGTGTGTTTGGGAACTTTCTGGTGGAGGGACTTGTAACTTCAAGGTAACACCATTTTGATTGAAAGCTGTACCTCACTTTTGAAGTTTAGTGCAGTTCAGAGCAGGCTTTGGCGTGCCTCAAAAGTGTGTAGTAGCTGAGATAAGACACCCCAGATGACAAGCGGCAACGTGTCTGTTCTTAAAAGCCAGTAAGTTTAAGTACTCCATTAATTTAAGTGCAAGAGGAAGTTTTGTTGTAGTCTTGAAGTGTTTTTTCTGTCTGGACAATACCATAAATGTTGTTAAGTGATCAAACTAAGATGAAGGAGTCAAGCCAATTTAAGCAAGTAACAACAAATGTTTGAAAATCATCTGGATTCATTTTTATTGTAACAACTTTTTATCTCTCATTAACATAGCTTTATAATTGCAAAGTTACACTGGAACTGAAAAAGCTTACTTCTTTAAGACGAGGAATGTACTGCTCCTTAAAATGTAGGAGCAGTACATTATGACAAAAAAAAGCATGTAGCCTTACTTTGCAAGATTACAAGATGTACCAAAATAATGTGGCTAGAAGAAGTAGGTTTGTCACAATAGCACATTTTTGAAGTGTGACACATTGCTGAAGTAATACTAAAACTAATTTATGCTACTGACACAATAACCCAAAAGCAGATTTCAACCACAAAACAATTCTGAATGTACAATATGACATGAGCTACAATAAATAAACTGCAGAATGAAACAGACTAGTACTTAGTTTGCATCTGTAATGTGTCAGAGAAGTTTAATGGTTTATGGCATAAATCTTATATATAGCCAAAAATTAACCACAACATGTCTCATTACGGTAAAGAAAATGTACACACGATAAATATTGGCCCCAAAAAACATATTGTACCAGCTTTCATATATTAAACGAAAGTCAATATTGTAATTATTGTGTGTAATTATTATGGTGTTCTAGGTGACCTCAGAGGGCTTAATGGTTCCTCAAATTCTTTAATGAGCCAATATTTTATGATACAAACTAAACCATTAGTTGTTAGTTTAACTTTTCATTTCTCTTTTCAGTTGTGTGTATGTTTCAGAGTTTACAAATGTAACATCCCAGCCCTAGCATTGATAGCAAATAGCCCTGATGACTACTTTTTGAAAAGTTTTGATGGTAGTTTTTGCAAACATGTTTACAGACTTTTTGTTTCTGTTTTTCAGGTGAAATTCTTTTATCTCATGTTCAGAAGTGATTTTCTCTAGAGGTGGTGATCACTATGGGGTAAGAGAGGGGAGAGAAGATTGATCAGGAAACAAGCCAAGGACGCACCCCCTCTTCCGCAGGTGACTTCAACAAGTTTGTGTATGATGTGGAGAAACACATTGTACATTTTTAGATTTAAGTAGTTTGATTGTGATTGTGATTAAAGTTTAGAGTTGTTTCTGTGGAACCAAAAGGCCTGTTTAGTCTGCATTACCATTGTTTTCTATTTACAACAGGCCCAGCCCCCGCTCAGGTGTGATAGTTTACTCAAACACACTTTTATCATTTGCAAATCTGTGGTCAAACATAGGCTTTCTTTGTGCTCTCTATCAGTGGAAAATGTAATCAGTGTGCTACACTGTTGTTTTGAATCCTTGTCAATCTGGTTGCCTGCGGCCTGTGGGTGCTTGGAGCATTGGCACCAGGCTTTTTTTTTAGTAATTTAGGACAGTATTTATATAAAAATCACATATTTAATATTTACTCAAATATCTCACTGCCCCTCATAGCCATAAACTTTAAAGTACGTATGACAGATTTTTATGATTTTCTAATTTTTTTTTATTTTTTCAAATTTTTTTCTTAATTTGGTGGGATTATATCTATTTTAAATAGAAATGATAGTTTTACAAATAGCAGTTTGTGAAGAAACGCTGAAAAATCAGTTGAAAATGACAGGAAGTAGAGAGTTCACACACTGATGACATCACATTAGGGAGAATTCTTCCTACAAGTTCAGCAGACTTTACACTCAAGAAGCAAATTTTTCTGATACTTTCAACATGATTAAAAAAAAAAAAGATGTTTTCTTATGTTTGTATTTGTCAAATAATAATTTCTGTGTACATTAGAGGAGTTTAACTGGGTAACAATTATAAATTCCCTACTGTGATGTCATGATTTCCAACCAGGAAGTAAAATTTTAATCTAAAAAACTGCCAAATTAGACAAATGATATATTATAATCTTAACAGTGTTTTAGTAAAACAGTGTAATCTAACCAGTTTTAGGCACTTTTTGTAAAATTCTGTAAAATGTACATAGCTATAAGTACAAATCCGGTGACACTTAACGCTTAATTAGACGTCTGAAAGCTGTAGTCTTGTCAACATGTTGTTGGGCTCTTTTCTGAGGATAGCCGTTACCCCACCCACTCATTTCCCAGAAGTCCCCTCCATGTTGGTACAGCAGGCAGGAAGGCGTAATTATCCATGAGAAGAAAGCAGAGAGACAGAAAATGTGGAGAAACAAGGATGAGCAGAATCTCCCATGAACCACAAGCGAGACTAATGTACACTGACTGGGATGCTCTTACAGGAGTATCGCATTATAGCATTTAACATAAAATAACACAGAGTCAAGGGTGAGTGCAAAGGAGAAGGCAGGTGAAGAGCAGCTGGTGTTGCTAGGAGGCTGAAAGAATAACACAATACACAGGACGCATGCAGCAGTGCAGAAGGCATAGCCCATACCCAGGTGATGTGATGTATTGTAAACTAATGTGTTCATTGAACTGCATTGTTATTTATTAAAATATTATTTTATAGTTGTATAATTTAGCTCAAAAGTTTAAATTGTAACCATAGTATTAGTATAAATAAATAATTATAAATTTAAATTTAATTAAAAATATAAATCAATGATTTCCTGTATGCTTGTTCCTCATCTCTCACTGAACATTGTATGCTGGAGCCTGATGAACTATCTCTGTTGATGTACATTTCCTGTTGCTATTTGTGCAGATTTTGACTAAAGACTGCTATTTAGAGTGACGTCTGCTTTCATCATTGTCCATTAAAATGTCATTAACAGGTGGCTTTTCCTGACCTGCACTAAAAGAAAATTGTGGCTCAGACTGAAAAAAAAATCAATGCTTACATTAAGGCTTCCTGCTCCTCCCTGCCTTGTGTGGACTAGATACATCTTAATGTGTACTTTCCTATCACTGCTAAGCTGCATTAGGAAATCATGTTGTGTTGCATCTTGTATTTTAGCGGGCCATTTCTTGCTATGAGTGGTGGTGTTCTGTTTCTAAGTCTCTTTGTTTGTGTCCAGGTGGTGCAAGGTGCAGGTCCCTGTCATGGCGCTACGGGTGAGGCTCAAGGTTGTGGTGACTGTGATGATGGTCAACCTGTTCATTTTTATTATCATCTCTCGACACCACAGCCAGGACAAAAACAGGTCAAAGATTGTTATCCCATCCAAACCATTTTGGAACAAGCTGGTTCCTCATACTGCATATTGGAACTGGCAGCAGCAGATCCTGGATATTCATAACAACCCTGTCATTTTGGCTAATTCCACTCTGCCAGAGTTACCAGGATGGCTCAATGACACCAGAGCTGGTTCTGACCCCTGCCAGCCTGACCTCAGTGTCACCACTAAAATAAAGGACTACAACTCTCTACCACAGCGCTTTAAGGACTTCCTTATTTACATGCGCTGTCGCTCATACCCTCTTAAGGTGGACCAGCCAGACATTTGTAAGGAGCCCCCATTCCTGCTGTTGGCCATTAAGTCTCTGGCTCCACACTTTGACAGGCGCCAGGCCATCCGAGAGTCCTGGGGGCGGGCGGGCTCTTTGGGGAATCACACCATCATCACAGTCTTCCTACTGGGCAATGCCACTGCAGAAGACCACCACCCAGACCTGTCCGCAATGCTGCAGTACGAGAGTCAGTGTCACAAGGACATCATTCAGTGGGACTATAGAGACTCCTTCTTTAATCTTACAGTCAAAGAAATTTTATTCTTAGAGTGGATTCAAACTCGTTGCTCAGGTGCACGCTTCATTTTCAAAGGTGATGATGATGTGTTTGTTAACACTTATCGCATCCTGAAATTCCTCAAAGACCTTCCAGAGTCCAAGGCCAAAGACCTCTTTATAGGGGATGTGATCTTAAATGCAGGGCCACACAGAGACAAAAAGGTCAAATACTTTATCCCAGAGAGCATCTATGTGGGCATGTACCCACCGTACGCTGGGGGGGGGGGCTACCTCTACTCTGGGGACATTGCTGCTCGCCTACACAATGTGTCACAGCATGTGGCACTGTATCCCATTGACGATGTGTACACAGGCATGTGCCTCAGGAAGCTAGGGCTGTCCCCAGAGAAGCATAAAGGCTTTAGGACATTTAACATTGAAGAGAAATACAGATCAAACCCCTGTGCGTACAACAGCTTAATGCTGGTTCACCCCAGGACCCCACAGGAGATGATCCAAATCTGGGCCTGGCTCAGCAGCCCCAACCTGACCTGTCAGTGATGTCTGCAGAAAGCCCAGCCTAAGGATGGGGAAAAAATAAGACTATGGGGACCTTTGCCTGAAGGTCAAGGTCAAGTGATATTATTTATTTTTAAAGGTGGCAGCTGTACGTTTGGCTGTTATTGTGATACCATACAGCCTTGAAGCAATGCTAGTGATACATTGTGCAGGCAACATAGTATTTTCTTTCACAAAATCTGAGCTGTGCTAACTCTGCTTTGCTTTAGAATGGGCTGTACCAGACTTGTTACATTGATCATTGTGTGTGTGCACATATTTATACAATAACTATTTATATAACCCTTACAAAGCTTTAACACTGTGTGTCAGCTCATTGAAGAGCCTCTAAATGCTGTATTATGAAAACAAGTGGCCCAAACTGAGGCAGTATTCTCTTTGGATTTCAGTATAAGGTTTTAGACATAAAATTGTATACGCATTGTAAGTATTGTCTTCAGTTGAAGACTTGTGAACATTGAAAACCTTGTGAGTCCGAAGTGAACACATCCTCAGTGACTGTTGCTGGAGACTGTGCTGCTATTACTGCCCACACTCCTCAGAGTATTATGATGTGCTGCAGCCTAGGCAATTCTACTCATGATGCTGTGTAGACTCTGCTATAAACATTTTCACAGCTATTAGTTTTTCCTCATATATCAATAATCCGTTAAACTAAGAGCTCTAAGTTTTGCTCAGCGGGTCTGGGTGTGGTTTATCAGAGAAAAACCTCCCATTTGAATTAGACAACTCTTGTATCAAGATGTACCTCTATGTTTTTCTTATTTGAAGGCACAGTGACTGTTTTTTTTTTTTGTTTTTTTGTTTTTTAAACCAAGCAAAACCTGTATTTTAAGATGTTACACTTTTATTACAAAGATATTGTTTATTTTATCAAAGTGACAGCTGATAATAGTATCCCAAATCTATTGGTATCAATGTCGGAGAAGAAAAGTTGCATGTATGTGCTGTGTGCAAGGTAGATCTTAAGCTTTTTATGAACCCAGAGAAAGGCACTTCTTTCTTTAGTAGAAAGTTTAAGTTAAAATTGTGAATGTCTCAAGAGTCTATCATTTACTACTATCAGAGGAAGAGAGTCTATTTCAGTATTTATGTTAACAGACTCTGAAGTGGCATGAATGTACTGTAAAATTCAGCCCAAATTATCTTGACAAAGGTAATACTCTCTGTTGGCACTCCCTCTGCTGGTCAGAATGGAGAGTGACACAATAACCTTGAGGCCTTAATAAATCCTTTCTCTACATCTATTTAATTAAGTTGATAAAGGTATTTTTTTTCTGAACTTGCTGTACTCTTCCCCTGTATGCTTGTAAAGGTAAAGATACATATGATAAAATGAAGAAATTAAGCCAAATTGATATGATTTTGTACTGATTTAAATACTACTTTACTTTAATACTTTTAATGAGCACACATTTACAATCTTATGTTCTGTTCATACCAAATAGGTGGATAGTCTTTTGCTGCAGTTTGTGACTACTTGAAATGTTTACAATGTCCTTTTTCACCTGAAGGGTTTTGGCCAGAACTTGGATAATGGTCAGTTTTAAGTATTCTAGTCTTTAGTTTATGTTTCTAATAGGCCTATGCATGCACCTAATCTTCATTTCATTGCTTTACCTTTAAGTGTCACTTCACCATCCATCCTTTTGATAATTTACAAATATTGACAATAATCTACTCTTTTGAACCAGAAAACCAAAATGGTCAGTGAATAAAGTAATGTCCATTTCCAATGACCTCACTTTGATTTCTGTTTTTAATGTTACTTCTGCACTAGAATTTTTGAGGTCCTCACCCTAATTGTGCCTAAAGTTTCTATGCTCTGTATTCTGCAACCACCTAAGACTATTTCACATCTGTGGCCTAGAATGTCTTGACTCTTAAAATAAAGATTTATTTTTCTGTTTTGTACATTCTGTTCTGTCGTTTCTCCATTGTCCTTATTACACCATCTTAATTGTGTATGAAATACACGTTTTAAACCTTTGTCTAGAATGGGATCACCACTAGAGGGGGCTAGAGTTCAATTACAACCTGCTGAGTTAGGCTTGGCATATCCTTGCCTGTTTGGAAACACACCAACTGCTTTGAGAAACACAAATAAAAAGCTATTGGTTTGTGCGTGTTTTCACTGCACCAAAAGGGGGGCTTCATCTGTAATATGAATTAATTAGGGCTATGCCATACCAGAGCTAAAGACAGTATAAGGCTACTAAAGTAAACTGCTTATTTTGATTTGTATTAAATGGCAAACAGTAGGCTAACAAAAATACATTAGGTCTACAAGATGTGTTCATTTAGTCCTTGGGTAAAGTTCTCTTTTTGACCTTGATGTCATTAAACATTCGATTTTGTTTGAAATTACTATGCTTGTACTTGTACATTTGAGATTTTTTCCCTTTCTGTTCCCACTAGTGGGAGATTATTTCTTTTATATATAGTATAGTGTCATCTTTTTACCCCTATTGTTAAGTCTTTTGACTCAATATTTTCTCATGGTAGGAAAAATAAAGATGATCTTATTTCACAATTTATTAACCGGGACTGTTGCAGGATGTTTCCTGAGACTTTATTTTCCAAGTTCAACGCCATCAAACATTAAAATGGGCCTGTATAAAAATCCAGTCAGTTGGTAATCTGCTGGACAAAAAAATGGAAGATGATAACTCCAACTGGGACAGGAACCAAAATAGTGTACAGTTTTGAATTATAATAAAAGGCACATGGCCGATGACTTTAGTTTTCAGATTAAATTTACTCCTGAGATTTAAATTGTTTGGATGAGCGAGGACTTCTACGGACGATGCACTTGGGACTTTGTCCATAGCCTGAAAGGATGACATCATCGGCCTGCTGCTGGGAAGATGTGGCTGATGCAGCGAAGCCTTCTTCCCAGAACACACAGAGCACAATTATTAAATGCCATTATGGTTTGAGACTCACTGACTTTATAGTTAGTTTTAACAAATAAAATCATTCTACCCAGAAGAACTAACACACCCAAGACTCCCCGGAGAAGTGTCTTTTATATTGCATAAATAATTAATACTTTAAAGCATAGCATTGTATTTTGACATTTTTATTCCTTTAATTTGAAAGTTGCTTGCTTATAGTAGTTGCACTGAGAATACAGAACTCACTTAATCTCTTTGGCGCCATCAATTAGGCTTTGCTCTGGCTGAAAATACATTTTGATTATCCTCTTAAAAGATAAAATAAAATTTTATGAAATTAAATTATGAAAATCAAATCAAAGGGCTTTTTGCTCTGCGTTTAAGTTGCCTGGCAAATCCAGAATGATATCTCTATGTATTTTTATACAGAATGATATAGTCTTGTCCCCATGCCCTCTTGCATCTCAGACCTGGTCAAATGTGACCCAAATTTATTTCACTACAGATTAACAAAGTTTAGCACTATACATTGCAAGTATTGAAGAGGTGAGTATTCTGAATACCAAGCTCAATTTAATAAGATCACAAATAATCTGGGTCAAACCATTTACTGTGGTGGAGCAATGGTTGAACCAATTCTCCACAAGGACATGTAGCAAACGTGTTTTTATTCTTTAGTAGCAACCAATATTACACAACATTTTTATTAGGTCCTTTTATGCGTTATCTGTCTTACCCTATCAAAATGATAATGGCCAAAGCAAAGAGAAGGATGTTAAGACATGAAGGGTTTGGAAAGGATATGATGATGGCACTAGCCCCTGGAGTGATGTAGCTCAGGAAACTGATATCTGAAAAAAGAGGACAACTAAACAACAGAACATCATGGATACGAGGTGTGCTGGACAGGACAGCTGTATTGAACATGTTCTATGCTTAACAAGTACAAGTATATTATTAGTTTATAGACAAGCAATTTTAATTGTCTTTTTGTATCAAGAATAGATTCATAGTGATTCATTATGTTTTTTGGGTTTAACCCAACCTTCAATGCTATGGTAAATAAATGAGCTAAATGAAAATAATAATAATAATAATGCCAGTTTGTGTCTGTGATTGTATGTTGTTCAGGTGTTTGTTGTCATAGAGAAAGGTCCTTGAGCTAGAACCATATCAAATGCCAAAGCTGACTACATAAAATGTTACTTAAAGGCCCTTAGGCAGAGGCACATTTTAGAATAATTATAATATTGACAAGTTTGAACCTTGATTTATGAGAATTCTACTCGTAAATCAATGGTTGAAATATACTGCATTTGCCTATCCTGATATTCTTTTATTGGTATTGTGATGTAACTGGGGCAGGTCATTGCTAAACTCTGTGGCAGCATTTTGCATGATTACTTTAAAAGACTCTTTAAAATAGACTGCAATAGTAATGAATTAAATTATTGCCATTGAGTTGCCCAGATGTCTTGTTAGTGGTGATTTAGTCAGGACAGGAGCTTGTTACACACTGCGTAAAGGATGTTATGCTATTGATGTCTGTAAACATGCACAAAACTCAATTACTCTAAGTAAATACTGGAGAGCTGGGAGCACTTATTCATGGTGTCTTATCCACTGTTTTTAGAGACGTGGGAGTATAGACCACAAAAGAGAATGAAACTTCACAGTTGGCAAAGATGGCATTTCTGAGGGAACAGCATGTGTTTACTCATCACTGACATCTTTGTAAACTTGCTTTTGATTGGTTTGTTTGTGCATTGTAGTTGCAACATGAAAGGGAGATCAAATAAAAAGTAAATCAACACCAGAAAAAGCCTAATGAAGGAAAGAGACTTGTTTGCTGTGTAAATCCAGAATAGATCCAGGACAGCTAAAACAAGGAAAAATAGCAGTCTATGTGTATTATTACTAATAAATACCAGAAAATGTTGTAGACAAATTAATTACCTAATATTAAATGCCTACGCTTTCTATAAAATGCTGCTTTTGAGTCTTAGTCTGTCAGTGCTCTTATAAAGTTAAATATGTGTACAATCCCATAACTCCTTATCTCAGACTTGCTGCAAACATCTGTTTGTGTTTGGTCTGAGAGCAGAGAGCATTGCCACGGCGACCCACTGCCCCCCACATCTGCTTTGTGTTTCCTTGGTTTAATTGCCCACATTTGACAGCTATCATTTGGGCCATTTCAAAGATCACAGTAACAAGATGACCAGTAATAAAAAATATACTAGGGTAATATTTGTTAAATATTTTTAAAAAAGTGATTCTAACAAATATTGCAATTATGGTTATATTTGTGTTTTATGTTTTAAAATTAAGATTCATGGATATTTTATACATGAACAATAAAAAAACATGTTTATAGTGTGTACAATGCTTTTCAGGTTACATAATAATAACATCTTATAAAGACAGAATATTGTGTTGGTTGCATGGTTGGTTGGTTATAATTTGCTAATTCTAGCCAATCACATTGAAATTTCATGATGCTTCTGATTTATCTTCCAGTCAACATACTTACTGTATGTCTCTGTGACCTAGAAATGGTTTACCTGCAAGCACACAATGTTTTGCTGACCAAGGTATACTGAATATCTGGAATTAGTGCAGTCCAAAATTAAGTGTTTGTTCAGTTATTGAATTTCTAAAGTAAAAAATTCTTTGAACTTTCCGTCGCATGTGGAAGTGTCTCTTCTCTATTGTGGTGTCCTCGGGGCTCTGTTAGGTGTGAACTGAGGTCTTTACATCAGGATGTGTTTTCACTAAACATCGCTAATGTGAGATATTTGTCAAAATTTCAAGTTATGCCAACAAAGAACATCTGCTTCTAAAATAGAAGGTAAAGGCAAAATTACAAAAAGCAATTTATGTTTCAGTAGTGTCTTATTTTTATGTATTATACAGTTAACAGTCTAAAGCAAAATGTAAAAAGTAGTGTGTGGTTTCATTGTTATTCTTAAACTTATGAATGAAAGTCAACACGTGTAAGTAAGAATATGTGTGAAGAAGTTGCTAAGACATAGCACTCTATTGATTGAAGTAAATGTATATAGCTTGTACCACCATTGCTAAAGGCATTAACGATTTCAGCTCCCCACTGCAGCTAATTAACAAGCTTTTTAAGAGTCGGGCGGAAATGTCTCATCTCAGGCAGTGGAGTCGGAGCACAAAGAAGTCATTCTGGCTCTGTTGTTGTGTCCCTAAACCTGAACAGTGGCTTTTCAGAACAACCCCAGAATGGTGTCCAGAGACTCATTTAGCCTTTGTTGCGCTTGTGTGAGTGGAAGTGGAGCCTTTTCTCTCTTTTGAGGGAGTGAGTGAGGAGAGACCTGCCCAGTGAAGCGTCACTGTTCATCCACTGAGCTGATAGTAGCTGACACAGGTCCACTAATGATCGAGGTACTGTGATCATCTAGTAGTGACCAGTCTCCACATCATCCTCTCGCTGTGTATGTACTTGCAGACCACCATATCTATGTCAAGCACAAACAATAGATTACATTTTAAATGCCATTGTATGCATTTCTGTTAAATCAACCTGCTATGCTATGCTGACCAGGCATTGCTCAACATAGATAAGAAAAGTGCAGAGGACAAATAAACTTACTGTACCTTGCTGATTTTGACAGCAATAGACACTGTTGTTCCCCACACTACAAAGGAAGAAATAATACAAAGATATATTAGATACACGAATTGGTTTGTTTCTCAAACAGAGGAAATGGATGGAATGTCCACAGACTGTCATGGTTATATCCAAGAGGAATTACCACACCCTGTACCCATGGACAGATCAGATCAAACCCACTTCCTGTTTCTGTGCACTGGGCAGATATCATAGGAATCCTTTGCTGTGACTTGGGATGGCACAGTTCAAAGAAAGACATTCTTATCTGATAATAAGCACCACTTAGGTTTCCACTGGGGAAATATGCCAAGCAATCTCATCTTCAAGAAAGTGAGTATTTGTTTCTCTTTTACCCTAAAATGTCTTTATACTGTAAATAAATATAAATAAGACAATAGAGACACTGGCACTGCTATCTGTCACCCTGAAGTGGTACACACTCACTTAGGTCTATCTAAGGACTTGGCTTTGTTAACATGTTTCTTTCAAGTGCTCTAGCACCAAGGGTGAGTTATGCTTGAAGTGCTGCCAGAATTCTTAAATGCTCTTGTATTTGTTAGTTCTGCTTTCAAAACATAAAGGCAGAGTCAATATAAAATCTGAAATAAGAGTCATTAAGGCCTATATCAATATACTATACAGTCAATTATTTAAGGTTGATTATTTATTTGTATTCCATTTGTATTGGTATAAAAATGTTTGTAGACATTTGACTGTCAGCATATATTCACCATACATCTGACAACAGAATATGGTAAAAAAAAAAAGGCCAAATCACAGCTGGGGGTACGGCATGCACCTATTTTGTAGCCTGCATTCCTCATAGTTAGTTCTCTGTTGTAAATACCATCACTGTGGAAATAAAAGACAGGTCAGACATTTGAAACAACATGGATTTTTTTTTTCACTGACAGGGTAGTGTTCTACAACACACACAATTGCAAATGTATGTGACATGACTGGCTGTTTGTAGGCTATTGATTTCACAGGATAAATGATGGAAAAGATTAAAAACCTATACCTAGCATATACAAACAACAGAAATAATGGCAATATAAGTAGGCTATACAACACCATTGTCTCAACAATGTGGCTTGTGGCTGTCACAAAGGACTATTATTGTTTTAATAGAGCCATGAAAAAAAAAAGATGACACTTGTCAATTTGAGATAATCTGACAGGAAATCCAACTACACAATTTCAAAGTAAAAGTACCATCATGTGGGATTTGGGCTATATAATTTATTCATGACTCACGTTTGCTTTTGTTGCACATTTGTTTGTACTACTGGATAAGGACTGCATTTGTTTTATTTATTTTATTCACTTGGAAATTGGAACTGACTATTTTACAGTAAAGATAAGAAGTTGTTAACCTATGTGTTAAAAATACGCTGTTAACTTGAGGGTTTATTTCACAAATATATCGTTCATTCATCTAAGACTATTTTGCACTGAGTATTATAATTATTATTACCTGTGATGATATTTGAATAGATCCATGTGTGGAGCACAGTCTATGGGCTCGTGTGGAGCCTGGAGCAAATGTGCGCGAGCGGAGAGATACGGCTTCCGCTGCTGCCGTGTTATGATGCTAGTTGTCGTTAGCAGGCTAGGGCTAGGCTAGCTGGAGGTTTGCTCTGGTACTGTTGCGAAAAGGGTGATAATTAGCCAGACACTCGGGCTTGGTTTATATCCCAGCCAAAAGTAAAATAACCTGCTTGAGCTTTTCGGCAGAGAGTACAGCATCAAGACAATGCTCTCGGTATAGCGGCCAGGTGAGTGTCATTCGCTCTGTTAACGGAGTTTTGCATGTAAATGGTTAGCAGCTGAATCGCCCCGGTTGTTAGCGGAGCATTTTGGCCCAAGCTATTTCTTGGATGCACAGTCCTACAAATTCCACATGTTCAAATGTAATGTTTATTTCTCCTGCTATGTCATATTAATGTCCATTGTTAACGCAATACTGTCCGTTTGCTCCAAAAGAGTCTCAGTTTATTTACTACTTTTGCTTCAACACAAATTCTCATTTTAAAATGAAAACATACCAACTTTTAGTAGTCCTCGGAGACTGTGTTGGCGGCAGGGGTACACGGAGTACCCCCACTGTCCGTGATGAACAAAGTAAGGTTGACTTCCACAGATACTTCGGTAATGTACACTGTTCATTACGAGTGGAACCCAAAACCGCTGAGGGACCGCTATGTTATGTCAGTACTACTAGTAGTATAACATTAAAATGACTTGCTTGTTTATTTCTTTAACATTTCCATGTATTTAATGAATACATATTTTATGTTTCAGGACAACATTGGAATTATGATTCATATACGTGGATTACTGGCCATGGTTTTGGAAAATATGAAGTGATTTTTACGACTAAAAATGCCCACTGACAATTCTGACTGCTGCTTCTCTCCACGTTTGGATCTATCGTTCCGTTTTTAAAGATATTTTTGGATTCACACTACGGTGGCCATTGTGCTTCATGCAAACGTTAACCATGTGTCAAAGGTGGAAGGATATGTTCAGATTAGTATAAATATATGTGGGAGATCGCCCAAAGGAAGCCCTGGCAGGAAGCCTAGGACGGGATAGGTACTGAAAAACGTTTCCCGGAGAAACATGGCTTCAGTTTGGAAGAGACTGCAACGTGTAGGGAAGCATGCCTCCAAATTCCAGTTTGTGGCATCCTACCAGGAGCTGATGGTGGAATGTACTAAGAAATGGTAAGTTTTGGGATAACAGGCTTCTAAATCACTGTCATATTTCCCCCTCGAAAACTGTATGTGGCTGTCTGTGCTGGAGTGCTTGAATGGTGGCCATAATTCACACACAGCTCACACACACAGTGTGCAGGCATGTCTGCACGCTGGGAGGGGCTCACTGTCGGATAAAACTGCTGTGTTTTTCCCTTATGCAGCCATACTTAATGCATTTTATTTCTATGCTGGAAGAGTAAGTTATTAGCATCTTGCATAATGTCTATATCATGACCAAAAACCAGACTGTGTCCATAGATCAAGCTACAATGTATAGATGTTCTGACTTTTATTCCTAGCTTCGTTAAACAATGCAATAATAATTTTAATATAGTGTGATAGACTGTCACTATATTTACATGCTTTGTATGGATTAGCTGTAATTAGCTGTACACACAGTGTAAGTACACATCCTGTGTAGAGTGAAAGAAGGCTCTTGTGGAGCAAAGATGTAGCCTGCAGACATGCAGTGTGGAGTGCCGGAGGCGTGACTAACACACAGCCCCACGAGCTTCAACCTGGACAGATGTTAACGTGTCGGAGAATGGAATGAGAAAAATGCACATCTCTTCTCAGAGCCAGAGGTGGGTGGGCTCTGTGCTCTGGCTGGTGCATGCTTTGTTTTGCAACTTGATCTGATTTTTCACGGTATTCAACAGTTTACAATTGTAATCCTAATGGTAAAAATGATAATAAATATTTCAGTGTGTGAATCAATAGCTGAAGTTTGTGCACTGTGATTTAAGCAAGTGTTTCCCAAACATAGGTACAAAACCCCTATGTCTGTATTTAGTTGGGGTAGAAATGATTTCTTTATTTGTTTCCGTGGTAATAAGGAGTTATTTTATATTACCCAAAATCTTAAAGTAGCTTGCATACTGGATACTAAACCCCAGATATTCTTTTAACTGAATGTATTTTAACACAATACATGATGAAGTTTCTGTAGTGACGATTACTGCTCTCTGCTGTTGAGACTCAGGCCTTGTTCACTCTGCTACTGTTGCCCTGAGGCTGTAGCTTTTAATCAAGAATGTGTTTTTGTAAATTTCTGACTAATATAGTTTGAAAACACAGCTGAAGGCAAGCTCACATAGCCAGGATATGAGGATTATACCCTGCCAATGACTCAGAGACTGTATTGATTACATGGTAATTCTACTCTGGTGAATGCAAGCATGGCTAATCAAGACGCTTCTCACCACACATGACATGACAGGAGAGGTCTGAGAGCATTGATGTTTCAGTTACTCTCCAAAACAGTACAGTAAATGTTAAATGGTACATCTTTTTACTATGCATACACTACACTCTGAACTACATAGGTCAGATACTTTGATTATTTTCTAAATTAATCCAAACACACATACAAAGAGGTTGATGTATGCCTTGTATTGCTGCATCATAATCAAATCATACAATTTTACTCTGGAAAACAGAGTAAAACGAGATGCAACATCTCAATGGACTTCCAATTAATACTACTCAAATCACAAAAATTAGGCGGGGGGTTTCTGATGTGGTACAATTTTCTTTATCAGAACATTCAAATTGACATGTGACTACTGTTTATTTTAATGCAGCCCTAAAATGCTTTTGACAAACTACTGGACTTTAAAAATGGAAATCCAAACCATATATGCTTGTTATGAAGAAAATGAAAATGCAAACATTTGTGGGTGGTCCCATTACAAATAGATGTCCACAGTCCACACAGAAATATCCAAAACTCAAACTGACAAGCAGCGGCTATACTAACCATGGAGGCACTGCCACTGTGCTACACAAGAACAGTTATTAGACTCAGTGACCTAATGTCTAATGTACATTGAGCCAAGTACCTGATGCCAAGGTGAATAGTGAAGAGTTTTTTGTACAAGTTGTTCAAACAAAGTCTGAAAGCGTGTCACTGTCTCTGTTGAGTGTTCAGTGACCAGGCTGTGTCAGGCTGTGACATGTTGACTTGAACTGAGCATGTGTGCGCTATGGCAGCACTTCGTCTCCTGCCAAACAGAAATCCTCCTGCCAAATTCAGGGTCTTGGCCTTCATGACAATGATAGTGCATTTGATTTATATAACACTCTTTTGGACTCTTTAGACCCTTTTACATTGCTTTATTTGTTCACTCTACACTTGGTGATGAGAAGCCCCTATTGTATCCCCTACTCCAACCACCACATTTCATTCACACATACCCCAGATTCATACCAAGAAAGATGGGTGAAGTCTGTTGGACACAATGATAGTTTGCACTACAGCATCTGCAGCCCCCACTATGGCACCTGGTATTCCCAGTGGTCTCCTTCCAAGAACCGGGGCATAACCCTGCTTGGCTTCTGAGATCTGACAAGATTTAGTTTTGTGTTTTGTGAGCTGATTTTAAAACATGTCCCCTATTCACCAGCTCACAGACATAAAACATGGTAGAGATGTGTCACGTTCACTAGAGTGGTAAATGTGATGACGTGTGTGGTGCAGTGTTCCACACACAGAAGAGAGGGGCTCATCGTTTAAAAGCACACTTTGCGAAATGTCTTTGAGAAATCACAAAGTAGTTAGATAGACCATTAGCCTGATTTATTAACCACTGTAACTACAAAATGCCACACTTTCTGTCACTACTCCAGAAAATTCAGAGACAGTTTACATACAAGAAAATCAACTTAAACATGCGTCCATTCATGAAGACAAGCATGATGTTACAGGTCTGATCTGCAGAGAGGCACCCTAACTTACAATAAGAATGCATGTTTTTCAAGATATTATTGAGCAATAAGAACACTGTAGGCAAAGATAAAACAATCTTTGTGGAGACAGGCATGATGTATACCAGCAACTAGAAAAGTTATGCAGTGCATCTTTAAGAAAATGAATGTGCTGCCATTTTATACTATTATGTAAATTAAACAAGCCTTGGTATTTATTTACAGTATGGTTCCTATAACAATCATTGAATATTGAATTTACCTCTCTGCATGACACATCTGCTGCCTGTGTCCAACCAGGAGGAAAATTATGCCCTTCTCCAAAGTAGTCACACTATGGAAAATAATGCTTATAGGAAAATGTCATCTGTTTTGGTGAAGAGAGTACAGTAGCTTAACTTGTAATATACACTTTAAGAACCACTGGTGTTGTTTTTAAACTATTAATTTTTTCTACTTTATAAATTTGCGATATGTAATGCACACTGACCCAGTTTTTTCTTGATTTGCCTTCATCTGTTTTTAATTTCTTAAACTTGTATTTATAAAAAACAAACATTCCTCATTCGGATTGTATTATTTTGCCCGGGGCTCTAGACAGCAAATGAGTTCTATTGGTGCATTGTTGTTTTTTTGGTGCACTTGAATATTTGAAGATTTTTGAACACTTGAACATTTTACACATATCAACCTAAATTATATCATATTTTAGCAGCAAAACTTTTCTCATACTCTCCATTGAAATGATAGGGAATCCCACTTAACCAAACTGGGCAGAATAAGGTCAGTAGTTAACTTTTAAAACAATAGTGTCCCTATGTTGGACCTCTGCTTGAAGCACAAATTGTTAGATGTCTTCTACTGTTCTCCACATAAGCCCCTGTTTCTTCTGTTCTGTCGACTCTTCTGGTACAATCAGACCATTCTTATATCAGGATGACTGCTAGCATTTGTTACTGAGGAAATCTTGATGATATGTACTTCTATATCAGCTGCATTATTCCACTGATGCAAGGATTAGATTTGATACACACAATATTATAAAAGATAAATTGCGCCGTAAAACAGGATACAGTTTTGGAGTTTTCTTTGCTGAGAAGGAGGATCTAAGGATAAGGCATGCTCTGGGACAATTATCTGTTTGCTTATTTCTTGGGTAATCTGCTGTTGACCTTTCTGTTGGTTAGGTCATTTATTTTGTTAAGCTCTGTGAGGCAACTGTTGTGATTTTTGGGCTATACAAAAATAAATTGAATATTGCTCTAAAATGCTTTTCCAGTTTTTGCCAAGTCTGCATGTTGTATCCACAATATTAATTTCTGTGATTTCTTTCCTAGGCAACCAGACAAACTAGTTGTGGTTTGGACACGAAGAAGTCGAAGGAAATCGTCCAAGGTGTCTTCTTTATTAGCATTCATGTTTGAATGATGACAGGCTAAACACTTTTTCCAATGACTTACTGTATGTCTGTCCCATAGTCCCACAGCTGGCAGCCTGGCATTAAAAACCCTTATCGTGGTGTGGTGGTGTGGCCAGTCCCTGAAAACATTGAGATCACGGTCACCTTGTTTAAGGTAAGTAATGGCACCAGTGCTGAGAGGCTGGGATTGCTAATACTGTACCTCTGCTGTACTTATACTAGTAATATAATAGTAATGGAGTGTAAATGACTCACATGTGGACAGGAAATGTCCCACTGCCACTGTCTCAAACCCTTTTGGGCTCTGCAGTGACACACTCACTCACTGGGCCAGCTCCTCTTACCATGTATATTTACTGACTCCATTTCAGTGGACAATATGACACTGGTCAGATTCCGTCAGAGGAGTACAATAAGGACAATGCACTAAAGTATTACTTTTGTAATGTACAAATTAGAAAACTTTCCTGAAATGTGCAGAAAACAAGCCTTTAAAATTTTTTATAAGCTAGCAAAATGAGGAAGGTTGATCTGAAGGAGTATGTGTGCCAAAGCAGAGGTTATACCAGAAAGCCATCATTGTCTGCCTTTAATACTGCCTATTGATTTTTTTGTTGGAACATAATCTATTTGTAGTTTGTAAAAGGCTATTTGAGCCAGTTACAGTACAGTACATTGTGAACACTTTCACAAGCTAATGAGGCCACCTTTGTCTCTGGCTAAGTGCATGATTGTGTGTGTCTTATGTTAATGTTTTGTTTTCCCTCACAGGACCCACATGCAGAGGAGTTTGAAGACAAGGAGTGGACATTTGTCATTGAAAATGTAAGTCAGATAATATTCTAGTTGAACCACCAAAAATTCTCTGGATATGTTCATTTTATTAAATGTGCATTCAGCGCCATCATGTGGTGCTAAAGCACCATTACATGCAGGTGTTGGCAACTACCATGTATTACTCAATAATTAAATACTTTATGATGTTTAGACTTACAGAATCATTTACATTTAATAAACAATGTCCCAAAATACATACATAAATATCATATTTTATAAATTATACAATATACACCCAAAGGTCACATTTTGTCTCTAAAGTTCCCTTTTATATTATACAATAACCTTAAAATCTTGGTGTCTGTTTTCAGTTAGCATATTTCATTTTTTAGTTGAGTTCTTTTTTCACAAAATGAAAAACATGCCCTAGGACATTGCCATATGAAGTGAGCGTGACGCATTTATAGTTCAACAACGGAAGTCACTTTAACTAAAATTATCACATTAGTATTAGAACAGACTAAAAGACATTTTATTATCAAGTCCAGTAAACCACCCTTGCACCACACTTGTTTATTTCAAAATATTGATAACAGGAGGAGGTCACTAAGTGCTTGACCCTCTTTCCTCATGTGGATGCTGTGCTCAAAGCACCAGCGGCAGAGGCAGCTGCAGTCTTTGATAAAAAGCTGAGAAGACAAGCAGGTCAGCTGCTGTCCTCAGAACAGAGCGTGGGAGAATGTAGAAAGTGCAGAGAAAGAGAGAAACACGTTTGTGTGTGCATACCTGACTAATGATAGTGAGATCAAAGCCAGGCCAGTGCACTGACAGCAGGAATGAAGAGGAAAGAACGACCCCAAACAACAAGGCAGGGGCAACTGAGCACCTGTAAATATATTACACTACTGGATTACACTACATCCATTCAGTGTTACTTAAATAATATTAATAATTACAAAAAAATTATATATGACCTCATAATAAACAATGTGGAATGTGTTAGAGTTTTCTTTTTTTATATTCTGTATTTAATAACTAATAAATATTTTTGGACCACAAGAGGGCAGTGCAGCCCAACATCTGAAGAATATCGCGTGCTTCATGGTGTAATGTGGATAGTAGTCTGATTACAAACAAATGTGTGAAGTGTGCACAGTCTAATACTCATAAAAAATACTATATTGTTGTTATGCATTTTTTCATAACTAATTCATGTATAAAAAGGTCTGTAGAATGCTCTATAAATAGTCTTGAAGCAGGCAAATGGAGAGGTGAGCTCTTCTGACCCCTCATCAGACGACACAGGAAAGAGGGAAGAATACGCCATTGTGCCTGAGCCGCGGAGATGATGAAATTTAAGATCCCCATGCGCTGGTTTGTTCTTAATCTGGGGGCCAACCTCATCCTGGGTTAATCCCTCGCCACTGAATTACCAGTCCTGGCTAGATTGTATTTTGTCATTGAAAAATGGCAGTGTCAAACACTACCTTTTCTCTCCTGTATTTGTTCGTCTGCCAAAGCGAATCACATCAAAAGATGGATATAAGTCAGAACTGAAGGAGGGAAGGAGAGGTGGTATGCTGGAAATGGCTTCACTGTGGTATCTCTAAATTGCATGTACCCTCGCCTTTGACTGCTCCTTTTAAATGGGAGCATATTATCAAAAAGGTGAGCAAATTGAGAGTCAAAAGATTGCATGGCTGTATTTGAAAGGCCTGTGCTGACTGATTCTTTTGTGTGGGCCATACTGTGTGTGTGTGAATTGTGCTTTTGCATATTAACCAAAGATGGAGATGGCAGTGTCCCTCCATCTTCAAAGCTTTTGTGAAGGATTTCCATAACTCACACACTGGACAATTGTGTCTAAGATATCATGTCTCAATATATTCAATATACAGTCACACTGCACCTCGCCTTTCTATGCTCCACCAATATCCAACCCATTACAGACACTCTAGCCTTTAAATGGCTACATCTCCCTCTTTAAAAATTAACTTGGAGCCAGACCATGTAAAAATACTGATGATAATTGGGCAATGAAATGATCCATGTTCATACTGTATCTAGAAACGAAATACTTGGACTGCAGATTGAGAGTTTAATTGCCAAATGGCTAAATAAATAAATGAATGAATGAAACAAAATTAATTCATAAATGACAGGTTTATGACTATGCATTACTTTTACAATAAATATTTCTGTCTTCTCTCTCTTCTCATTGGCCTATAGTTTTGGTGATGGTTACTTCTTCTTTCATTAACAAAATGTGCCTTACTCTCTATTGTGGGCCACAACTAACTCCAACCATTTAAGCATCCTCCTCATGCAGACACAGTCTGGTTTAACACAACCAATTTCAATAGAAAAATGATGACTGTGTTGTGTTCTATAAGACGCACTTAGCAGCCCTTCATTTGTACTTTACATATTTCCCTGATGGACTACCTCCCCACACATCTATGTTATATCCAGTGCCTTCTGTGTGCCCTCCCCTCCTTTATAACTTGGAACACATTACCTAGGCCACTGGCTTGTGATCGCTGACTGGGCCTCAGGGAAGAAAAACACAATTATTTCAACCCTCTTCTATTCACGCAAAGGTGACAAAAGCTGGTATGAAGTATGAAATCCCAAAAGTTCCTCCTGTGCTGGGGCCGGCAAATTGGGATTAATCTGTGTGCACGCATGTGTCTCCAAAGTTTTTTTTAGTTTTTTTTTTTTACCTTTGCTCGATTCTCATTTCCTAAGTAGTTTGTGGAAGTCAAAGCACTCATTTATTGTGAAGAACTGATGGAAATGATGAAAATAGCTGCAGTGGTACTGAATGCCTGGTATGAGATCACACATAGCAGCATATGGAACACGAGGAACTGGTGAGGTAGGCTGCTATAGTGAATATTTAGTTTGCACATTGCTGTTTTATTCCCCTATTTGTCTCTAATACCTTTGATACACATGGACCTCAAATTGTGAGTTAACTGCATTTGTTGTATTGCGTAGGTGTGTTTGTACAGGCCGGGTGGTCCCTCATGTTACCCTAATAGGCTTAGTTGCTCCCTAATCCACCCCACACTACCCCATCACATGGCTGGTCTGCTGACTAACTGCTACCACCATGAGTCTACAGTTCTCTGTTCAGGTGTCAAGTCGCTTTGTGGCTCTACCTCTGAGTTTGGTGGCTATTATCAGTCTAATTGTGTTTATAGAAAAAGTTGTAGCTCACATGAAATCAATGGCACTATGATTACTTGAAACCCTGTAGTGTAAAATTTTGTTGTGATGCTAGTGTGGATCTTGTTCTTCACTCTGTTGCATATCCTGTTGCTGTGCACAGCCCGGCAAACACACTGTTAGGGTCACTACTTCCTGTCCAGTTGTGTATCTATGGGTTTTTTGCTGAATAATGCTAAAATTAATAAATATTTAAAGATAAGGCATTGGACAGTGAGTTGTATGGGGATGTGACTGATATGTTTAAAAAGTACAAAAATAAAATGAGTACTTCAACAGAGGACACTTCTGTATTTAGAGAGAGATGTTTGTGTCTCAATACAAACGTTAATGTTAATTTTGAGGCATAATAAGAATTACAACAACTCCACAAACTGAAGTATTCTACATAGAAAATAACTTGATTGTCTTTATTTTAATTAATTTGAATGTTGATAGGTTGCATATTTCATATTTTACAATTTTAATAAAAGTGACTGTTAGCTTTGGGACACAGTGAGCTAGGTAGCATGCAGATGTGCACAATTACTGTACCTATTTATTTGTGTGTGTGATTAAGCTGCATTTAAATCTCTAAGTTCCAAGTTGTGACTTCGACCTTTAGTCTGAGTCTACTGCTACCTGCCTCTAGACACATGAATATATTATATTTGAATATATTATATAACTATAGCCTCCCAACCTAATTTCAGGTTTTGCTCACACGTTGTTGTTAAATTTAAATGAACATAAAGAAAAACAGGCCTGAGCATACTAGGATTATTTAGATTATTTTACAAGAAGAATATTAATCAAAGAATCATTGAAGACATGCTTTGTACCAGACTATTCACCTTATTCGGCCTCGTCTACTTTTGTCTCTAAATGCTCCCAAAACCAATGACGAATTTGAGAAATGTTTCCAGATTTAAATATGACATAAAGTAGGTTAATTTGTGTAAAATGTTCATTGTTCATGTGCAACAACAAGTCAACACTGATTCTCTGGGAGGCTTTTAAGTGGCTTTATTGTCTGTACGTTTAAAAGCCTTATTCATTTCCCATTCTAGCCCCATTTTGCCCTGTCATTTAGTAGTTGTTTTTCCTACATTTGGAAACTCAACAGTTTCACTAATGTTGGCCCTTAAAATTTTTTCCTCAATTTTGCACTAAAGTCTTTGGGTATCATTAAATCTTTTGGTAGCTTGTTCCATTGTGTTATAGTTTTGCTTATTGGCCCATGCTGGTAAGTATGCTACACTCGCCTCTGCATGTGGCCTTGTTGTTTTGGTCATATGTTGCTGATGATGTTAATGTGGTAAACTTTTTGGCTGGTGGAGGTACAATATTAATAATCTTTAACAACAGTTGTGAATTTGCAAATTGAATAATGTTTCTAAAGCTTAGCATTTTATGTTAAGTATTTTACAGTGATAACATGGTGGTGGTTTTCTGTTGGGAATCCTACGTGCTCATTTGTAGACATATTTCAAGGGATTTATTGTTGTCTTATTTGCTTGTGACCTACATTTTTGTTATGTCTCCTACTAATCTGTATGGGGCCATATAAACCATAACAGCATCCAAAAAAAGAGATAATCTATTATGTATTTTTAATATGGTTGAATGCATGAATAATTCCTCTTGGAAAAAATTCTTCTAAGAAATCTGCAGTTGTCATGTTTTGTCATTTTTCTTCACTGTCCTATTTTGTTAATATTATTCTATCCACTTTTTTCCTGTCCTGTAGATTTTTTCCCATCATTTAGGTTTTTTCATCTCACATTGCCACCTTTTTCCCAGTCTTACCCCTTGGTTTTGGTGTCATGTGCTACATG